CAATATTTTTAAAGAAATATCCAAATCAAGTTCTTGTTTTTTGAGATAAAACGGAGAAAGCGGAGTGGGTCTAACTCCACATCAATGTACTAATAAGTACTGTCAAGATGCCTCTGTGCCATTTGTCTCAACTTGGTGAATTCAGCTGAACACATAACAGCCTTCTCACCAACATCAAACTCGAAGCCTTTCTCTGAGAAGGTGTGGCAGCATCCTCCAGCCCGGTCATGCTGTTCAAGTACCAGAACCTTCTTTCCAACCTTCGCCAGTAAAGCTGCGACACCCAGCCCACCGACGCCACTGCCAATCACAATGGCATCAAGATCCTGGGGGACTTTGCTGGCCAGAAAGCCTGCCACCGAAAAAAGAAACACAGGGGGTTGTTAGACACAGATATGAATTATACCATGCATTACATCAGGAAAATGCTTGATTTTTTAAGCTGCAGTTTCACAACTAAGACATTACACTTTGGAGACTTCAACTCTGAGCAGGCATCCCAAAAAACTACAATATCCATGTGGCTTTGAGAGAATCAGTGGCGTTGATTCCAAGATTCAATTCCACACAATCATGATTCCAAAAACCAAGACATAGAAAAAGAAATCTGGCTCAAATGAAGAGTACAATATTCATTATATTTGACCGTTGGCTAAGGAAATTTGGAGGAATGGATCTTAACTCTTAACTAGCCATTAACTTGGCTACCGGGGGCTGGCAAAATTACCTCATTCTCTTCTGTCAGTTCCGTCAGGTGGGCACATGTTTTTGCTCTGGCAATATATTTTGATTGTAAGCCAACAAATTTCACATTTTTCCAAATATACTGCTGGACTATCAATGTGTGACTGGAAGCATGCATTTTTACAGACTGTCTAGTCAGTGACAGCAGAATATCTCCATGTGCATGCAGGTATGAGCACACCTGGAGGTCACTGTATGGAATCGAGTCCGAAGCTTTGGATTCAACTCTTGATTCCCTAATGCCTGGATTCAAGGAACTGATTCTTTTTTGGATCGACTCGCAGCCCTACACGTTACCCATTTACAGCATTTTGCAGATGCTCTTATCCAGAGCAACTTACAAATGTGCTTTGCTGGCTATTTAGAAAACATATCCCTGCTAGTGCACATAGAGTCTAAACTACCTTTGAGCTGAAAACATTGCCAGAAAACGTATTACACATTTCTTATCTGGGTCCAGGAATCAAATAGCAGACTTTGGTCTTCTGACAGAAGTTCTACTTGTTTTTTTTTTTTCTACTTGCTTTTTTTTTTTTATCTCAGTTTTGTAAGGTTTTGCAGAAATCTGTTATCTGATCCACACACAGAGGTTAACAGTTATTCACTCACTCACAGTGTTAATCACAGCAGCAGTGCACACACATAATCCAATATGACTCACTCTCACTGAGCACTTCCTTGTATATACAGTATCAATTTTTCAGCTCCTCTTACCATATAGGAGCGTTCTGTAGTTCTACAATTACAGACTGAAGTGCATCCACTTATCTGCATGCTTTGTAAGTGTCCTTTCACCTTGTTCTTCCATGGTCAGGACCCCCACAGGACCACTACAGAGCAGGTGTTATATGGGTGGTGGATCATTCTCAGAGTTGCAGTGACACTGACGTGGTAGTGTGTGCTGTGCTGGTACAAGTGGATCAGACACAGCAGTGCTGTTGGAGTTTTTAAACACTGTGTCCACTCACTGTCCACTCTATTCTGCAACACCTACCTTGTAGGTCCACCTTTCTGCTGGTCATCCTCTAGTCATTCACCATTGGTCACAGGATGCTGACCACAGGACGCTGTTGGCGGGATATTTTTGGTTGGTGGACTATTCTCAGTCCAGCAGGGACACTAAGGTGTTCTAAACTCCAGCAGCAATGCTGTGTCTGATGCACTCGTACCAGCCCAACACACGCCACCACCATGTCAACGTCACTGCAGAACTGTGAATGATACCTGCTAATAACAGGTTGATAAAAAAAATAATACCTGATCTGTAGTGGTCCTGTGGAGGACATGACCATGGAGGACAGGGTAAAAAGGACTAACAAAGTAGGCAGAGCAACAGATGGACTACAGTCTACAACGGTAGAACTACAAAGTGTGCTCTTATGGTTATATGGTAAGTGGAGCTGATAAGACGGACAATGTGTGTAGATACAAGGATACTTAATAAAGCGCTTAGTGAGTGTTCATCCCAAGTTCCCAAACCTAGACTGGGTTGCACCGGTTGGGCGTAAAGTCTTTAGCTAACACGAGTTAGTTTCACACTACCCTCAGACTGGATAACCGACACAACAGCAGCCTCAGTTTAGCCGTTTCAGCCGCTGCTAAGCCTGAGCTGGAGCTGTGGATGTTCATGTTCAGAGTTAAAACCAGGGCGATGATTAGAGCTGTAAGTAAAATCACAGCGTATAACGTCAAAGTTTAGAATTTGTAGCCTAGTTAACCAAAAAAGTCATTGTTTTGGTCATTCTACGTGGTTTCTGATGGCTTCCTCAACACTTAGCTAGGGTCAACACTACACCTGCTCAGGGGGAGGTGTAAATACTTAGTAACTAACCTAACGTTAACTGTTATTAAGCTTAACGTTAAAACTCGTTTGTGTGGTGCAAACCGTTGTGATTTAGTAACGCATAAACCTGAAATTAGTAAACACTCAGCTAGCACAGCCGGTGCAACCGGCCACAGGAACCAGTCTGTGAACCACTACACAAGGCATTACACAGGGGTGTCCGTGTAACTGCAGATCAGTGAGCGACCTTGTTTCAGCACTTTGTTCTTCTCTTTCCTATCCAGCACCATCGGCTTCAGCGGTTCGCGGGAGTCGAAGTCAAAAGGACTCGGTCCGGATGAGCCGAACACATTTTTGAAGAGCAACACGACCAACAGCACGACAACAAAACCGACCGCGACCCACATTACTGCAGCAGCTCTGTGATAACCGGAGCGCTAACTCAGCTCAGCTCAACTGAACTGAACTGAAACCGAGCTAAGCTAACGGCTCCTGCTGCGCGTGCACGCGCAAACGCACTATCGACCTCGCGCGAGATTTGTCAGTGCGATCAGGCAACAAATCCAAAGGTCAGCTCAGATTTTTGTGTATTTAGTGTCTGCACGCTTTGCCTTAATCACAGCTTCTGTTGTCATTTTTTTTCGTGTGACTTTTTTTATTTTTGAGTGAATTTTTTTTCCACACCACCGAAGTTCAGTCCTAGAAGTTGGCTAAATCACTCCCCCCCAACAGAGACTAAAATGCAGTCACTGCTTTCAGTTGGACGTTTTCATAAAACCTCTGACAAAGTAGTTGTTTTCTATCTTTATTGCGACAGGATATTATAACCATTTCAGCGTTTTAAAGCAGCTTTGTATAGTCAGAACTGTAAGATACAGTACAGGACCATGTCAGTGCAAACATTTACATACATACTTTTAGTAAACATAGCAAACAATACACCAGAAAGTAGACAATTGTAGTGTTAGGCTGGCTTCTTTAAAAAATAGGCATCAGATCACAGGAGCTGAAATTTCCCTCAATTAGGTTTTTTAATGCCTCAAAAAGGTAATAAAATACATTTTCTTTCAGCAAAATCCACAGTTCAAACATTTAATCACGTAAACTGATTATTAAAAATTAATGCCTGATGTGCTATTTCTTTTAGAGAAACATTTCAACAATTATTTCGTCTTTAAAATAAACAACCATAAGGCACATCAGTCCTATGTAACTGCAGCATAAAGAATCAGTAACTACTGATGACCAGCAACACTCAGAACTACTTATGCTGTTAATCCTCACAGCAGATTTATATTTCATGTCCATTTCCCTCTTTTTACTGTTGTGCTCAATTTAGCACATTAATAGAAATGTTTAAAATCTGAAAAAGAAAATGCTTAAAAATCTCAGATTCCATTTGTTTAGACAACAATTCCTGTCAATCAAACAAACCTTTTGAAAATCAAGTCCAAACACCAACTGTATGACTGCAAAAACTAAGAGCTGGGTTCAAGTGATTGGTGTTACTAAACAGACATTCAATTTGAAGATATTAAATATTTATTAGCAGATAAAAGCTAATTCATTTTTTTCAGACTATATTTTGGGGAGATCCCCAAAGGCAGCCAACTCGATTACGAGGAAAACTAAAGCATTCAGAAACACTGATAATACAGAATGTAAACTAGGCGTAGAGACGTACTACTGTAAAGCTCATTAAGGGGAAAAAAAATGCTTCTCTCTAAAACACAAAAAAGGCTGAAAACTGGTAAAGCTTGTAAAAGGGTTAAAAATATCTGCAATTAAATTATGCACATTACATACTACTGCGTGTGTAATAGAGGCACATACAGAGTCATATGCAAGTTTGAACGCCCCCAGTCAAAATACGTTTTGTTCATTTTCTAAATGAAAACAGTTAACGCATCCTCTACAGAGAACAATGTACACACTGTATATTTATGTGTAATTTGTATGGGTTTAACATACTGGACATAAAATGTGCCATAACTTTCACATGATGTCCTCCCCATGTTACATTCAACAAACAGTTTAATTGTACAATTGTGTAACTGTACATTAAACAGTGTATCCATGTGTTCTCTGTAAATAATGTGTACTTTTGCATATGACTGCATATCATATGTAATGATATTGCATAAAAAATATGTTCAGTAAAATTCACTAAATTTGTTCCCTTTTAAGAGTTACAAAGGGGGATAAAGTCAATATGAAGGCATTATTTAGTGAGCAAGTTCCAGTGGAAATGTTTAGTAGAGATGGAAGAATAAAGCAGTGGGGTCAACAGGGCAGGGGTTTCTTCATATGAAGACGACATGGATGTGGTTCAGCTGGGTTCGAATGCTTCTTTCCACTGTTACAGTGCTCAGCCAGGACTGAAGGAGTGTTGCTGTGGTTACTCGGCTTTCTTGTTGGCTTCTTTGAGTTTCTTGCAGAGAGCCAAGACGTCCACATAAAGGTTGCGGTTAAGAATCACAGAGCCACACACCATAGCACCAGCCAGTGCACCAGCATAGCCGCACGAAAACACATCTTGGCCTAAAGGAATAATACACTTATGTTAGTCTAGACCTGCAGTTACCACTGTTTAATGGAACTTATTTACACTACAGGATGTAATAATCAAGGTCATGGTCCACTGTGAGACACTGGTACTGATGTGCTGCAGTTATAAATCTCACAGTACAGCACTCTGTTTGTATATGATTGTGTACATATACAAACCAAAAAATACATGTTGCACTATGTGAACAGAATAAATATTACATATACTTACAGAGGCCTATATTTCCATAAAAAGGCACTGGGGTGGTTCCCCTCAAATCACTGAGGTGGTATCCCCAAAGCTACGTCTTCAGTACCTTTTAGCAATCATAACTGCACCATATTCTGTTTTTTAATAAATGTTTAATAAAAAGTTATGAAAAGGTACAATTATTCACCTTTCCCCCCAGGGAAAACTCAGTTAGGGTACCTTTAAAGGTACAGTTGGATCTTAAGTTGTACCTTGGATGATACATTTACATAGTTTGTACCTTGAAGAACAAAAATGTTTACACACCATATATCTGTACACACACACACACACACACACACACACACACCTGTGAGGTAAAGATTTTTGATGGGGGTTTGTGGTCTCACAGAGATGCAAAATTCTGCACTGAAGCGGGCAGTGCCGTGGTCAGCTCCATAGATCTCCCCTTTAGGAGCCGCTATGTAGTGCTGGTTAGTGATGGGAGTGCCTACATCCATGTACTCTATCTGCATAGAGAATGACAAGGAGAGAGAGAAAGCAAAAAAGAAAGAAGGGAATACAGAAATAAAGAAGAACAAGAAAACAAGATAAGACAGATAATATAGATAAGAAATGAGAAGAGAGATATACACAAACGTTCGAAGATGCAAGAGATGAGAGAAAAAAAATTCTACTCAGTAAATTAAGCAAACAAGTTTATTAGAGAGGAAGGTGTATCAGAGTGAGTCATGGGCTCATACCCTATCCTTGATCTTGGGGAACACCTGATACACCACTTCTAATACAGAGTTGAGGAGGGTCTCTTTTAGTTCCTTATAGTCGGCCCCCCTGTTTTTCACCTTGTCATCTTTCCATTCCTCGAACCACGAGTAGGGTGCAAAACTCACCAGACTCAGAGTGGATTTACCTGGAAAAGACAGAAGAATTCAGTAGAAATTCAGAAGGGAGGACCTGTCTGAATGATTTTGTTTAAATCTGAATGATTCACTTATGAAGTACATCTGAAATTCCCATTCAGTCTTGTGTGGCCAGAAACACACAGAATGTTCCTTTTACCACAAACGCAGCTGAGCAACTAAGACATGTTTGGTGTCTGAACTTTCCTAGACTTTAGGTGGAGCTATGAGGCTAAAGTAGCTAACAAGTAATGGTACCATATTAGCACTGTGTAAACTGAATATCTAAATTACCACACACTTGCCTCAAAACAACAGTAACTTCTCATCAAATCCAAAACATAATAAAATCTCTTTTCTTCTACCTATCAATACAAATGTGGTATTAATTAAACATTTAGTGCAAAATAATTAATGCGGAACCACAATATGCCTTTGTTATCGCAGGTGATAACTGATTTTTATGAGTTAAATCCCACACACTTTGTTCACCCGTACTCTACCTGGCTTTCTCTGCTCCCAGGTGGGGTCTTTGGCAGATGGCGAGGCAATAAAAATCAGAGGTACACTCTTTATAGCTTCCTCCCTCTCTTCTTTCCTGTAGCCCTCCATCCTAGTAGAAAAACAAGGTGTATGAGGCATGATATCAGCAGACAACAGAAACAGGAGATCAATGCAACTATAGTACACTAATTGTATGTTGTTTTTCCACCGCATGAAGTACCAAAACCTTTGGTACTAGAAAACTGGATCTGTGCCTTTTCCCCTCGCCCATCTGATCAAGATCGGTACCAACAGGACTTAACTGTACTTGAAGGTGTTCTCCTCCGTGTTTAGCAACACTTACAACTGAAGCCAATGACAATTTAGCAGCTTAATTTTTACTCTGCCAGGTGAGTATAAAGTCACCAAGCACTATTACATCACCAGTGAGTGGACCAGAGAGTAAACTGGAATGGTCTGTTGATGTGTCAAATGCTACTTTATCACTTTGCTATTAGCATTTATGCAAGCCTCCACGGAACCAGTGTTTTTGTTCACTGAATAGAGAAAAATATAAGCTCTGCTTAATTCTATACATGATTCTGTATAACTGTAGAAATTTTGTGTGAGAACACAGAACAGTGCAGAACAATGTTTCATATCAGTTAATAGGGTAAGCTAACTATATAACTAAGCAAGCAAGATTAAGTTCACATCATTTATTTGTTAAAAATATACAGCTCACCATACCAAGGTCAAAAGATCAGTCTCAATTTCAGATGCAAACTAAATGGAAGACTCACTTAGTTGCCAACAATGATACTTTACATGTTAACTTCTTTACCCTTCGTTTGCTACTGAAGAAAGAAATTCAAACATACGAATTACATCAAGTACACTGCTCACAAAATTTGAGTCTTTTTTTTCCACTGTTTGGTAACAGTACCTTAGTTCTGATTGGCTCTATATCTGTGGGTTGATCAAATGATAACCATGAGCTGCTGCTGTGCTGTGTTTGGGGTGGAAGAAGGATTGTTTGCCCTAGAATTCTCTGCTGGCAGTAGTTCTGAAAGCACAGGATGTGCTGCAGTGGTGATAGAGAGAGAAAGGAGGCACTCACCGCTCATCCAGGTTGTTCTCAGTGAAGACCCAGTAGTTTTTGGCTTCAAGACCCAACTCCTCTTTTGTCCCTTCCAGACCCAGAAAGACACTGAGTCCGCCCTCTCCATGCTTCACAAAACTCAGCTGCTTCTGGATCGCTGTCAATCGCGCACACGCACATACAAACACATGCACACAGGATACAGTATCTGCATTTTAATTTGGAGTTTTAAATATTGTTCCTAGATTATAAGAACTTAAAGTAAGCCTGTCACAATTATTACATTATTACATTTGTTTATTTAAGCTCGATCTGTGTGTGTCACCAATTGGGAGCCACCAAGTATGAACAACTAGAAAGCAAAATAGCAAATCGGCCCATTTAATCACTTTAGGCCTGTGCTTTAATTTAAAGGAGTATATTATATTAAAGGAGTATAAAGGAGGATATATAAGGAGTGGAAGGTTAAATGGAAGAGAAGAATTAACACAATGTTTGATAAATTCATAAAACCACAAGCTTTTTTTTTAGAACTTTACACAAATTTTCTGTATCTAACAAAAATATCATTGGCAAGAAAAAACTAGAGTCCATTTCTCATTCTGTGCAGCATTCTTATTCTCCCACCCTCCCTCCTTTCCACTGTCTCCCTCACCTGGCATGGCCTGCACCTCTTTGGGCAGGAGATGCTGGTAGGTGTTGAAGATTCCGGCATCTGAGATGACGATGGGAGCGTGCACATGTACCTCCTCGTGTCCCTTCATAACACTCACACCTGCAAACACACCCCACTGCAATGTCAAAACACTTCCGGGAATACATCTTGAGTAATTTCAAATTAATACATCATCTATAGAACTACTGGAGCTGGATTAATTTTAGCCACAGAGATTCTGTAACCATCTGTAACAAACGCCACCGCGCCACACGGCTATGTTTATTAGCAGGTTCTGATGTTCTTTTAGCATGCGTTGGATTAGAACAGGACTGCTATTACTGAGGGAGTGTCAGGTTCAGCCAAATACAGAAGGCCACCATTATTAGACTACTGTTAGACTAAAAACTTACACAGTGCAGATCTGTATAGGATCCATTAAAATTACAAATACTAAAAAATACTTTACCAGGTATAACTAATCCAACTCAAATAGGGTTTGTGACAGACTTGATTTGAATATAGCTGCAAATGATAACAGTATAGTTCACTACAGTTTACTTACTTTTAAACAAACTAATATTTTACTTAAATAATTTAAGATTTTCAGAAAGAAAATGTCTAGAAAATAGAATATCTAGAAAATACAACTTTTGATCCTAAAGTATAGAATTTCAGAATTAATTTACTTAGGAATTCACAGTTTACTTAAGTTAAAACCAATTTGCAGATTGCAATTAATTAGTTCATTAATTTAGAAAAAGTGAGGCCAAGAAAACTAGGTACAAAAACACTTATTTTCATATCCTTTTTGAGAAAGTTTTGGAAGGTGATTATAGTATAGACAATAGTTTGTTAATATCTTTATTTTTTAACAAAAATAAAAATAAAATGACTGTGCTGGGTCTTTCAGTGAAGTGTTTTATAGAAAAAAAAGTTAATTTTAAAGCTCTGTAGTTTTTAAATAAAATTGAGTATTGACTGATACTCAATGTTTTAATATCAGCGTCGAGAAAAAAATCATGTCACACAATCTCCAGTTAAGAACATCCTTACTGATCAGTTCTCATTTCTGACTTACTTAGTCAGAAATCCTGAAGAAGAAAAGAAACTGTACATGGTTTTGAGGTTACCTATAGCCTCCTTGGCATCGTTGAGGAGGATGCGGTTGACAGGTGCTCTGACGAGGACGGCTCCTCCTGCCTTCTCTATGATGGGAATCATGTGGAAGGCAATCTCACTCGCTCCTCCCTTCGGGTACCAGGCACCAGGCATATAGTGGCACAAAAGCAGACTATGCATGGAAAAACTGGCTTCTTTTGGTATGTTTCCTAAACAAACACACCAATCAGTATCAAAAACACTGAAAGAAAAACAAACAAACAAACATTTAAAAAGCTAATAGGAACAGAACAAACAGTAAAACAAAATTTTAATGTTTCTTGGTGAAGCCAAGGTTTCTTATAATACTCATGTGCTGTTTCCAAGCAATGCATGTACAATGTGCAATTACATCTATAAGTGTCACCTCTGTGATTGCTGTGGACCCCTGTAATTTTAATTAGGGGTGTAATGATACACAATATTCAAAATTATAATTATATGCACATATTTTAATATTTGATATGATTTTCAATTCTAAAGTCCAGGCTCAATCTAATTTCCAATATTTCTGCTAAAAAAAACTACTCTACTGAGCTCTAATTCTGCTCTACACAGATTGGGTTGGCTCCAATATGTAAAAGTTCTGTAAAAGTTCTCCTAAAAACCGTAACCTCTAGAATTCATATTTGATTTACAAAAATCCCAGTCAGTTGAGCAATAGGTGCATGCATAACATAAGCCCCACCCCCTCCCTACCCACTTAATTCTAATAGAATATAAACATAGTGCTATTTTGATCACTGACAGTGGTTTCCACAAGAGATGGTAAATGAGAGACCCCTGACAGAAACCGAGACATGTATCAGCGATACAGTTTTAAATTTCAGTACACTGTTTCAAATTTGATTTTTTGATTATTAATCGTATTCATATTAAAACTGTTACATCCTTAATTTTAACATCTGACACAAACAAGCAAATATGAAGAAATTAAAGCCTCAAAACTTTAATTTCTTTAATTTTTTTTTTTAAACTGGGCACTAGCCTTGTGACTGATTTGAGTCATTGATCGATCATTCAATCATCATTTACAAGGCACGTGTTATAATAGCAAACGTAATTCAAAGTGCTTCACAAACTGACACTGTTAACTGTTAAAGATGCAATATGTAAGATTTGGGGATTTGGAGACCTCTCTGGGACAAATGTGTAATGGCACACAATGCACAGAAGAACTTGGTGAAGGACACATCTTCCAATGATCTGAGTAAATCATCCACTATTGTCATCATATTTTCATCAGTGTAATGTTGATTTTGCATTTGCAACCTAAACATCGAGCCAGACCTTCTTTTTGAGCCTGTGTGTGTGATGTGGTCCCAAAAACTTCCTACTTGACTCCTCCAATTTTTAATTATTATTTCAGGCTTTACAGGGTGACTCAGCAGCGCATGCACAGCATATTTTAGAGTGGTTTATTTTTGTTCTTTTTTCAGTAATACTATTTCTTTCCATTTTAACAAAAAATCTTACATCTTACTTTAAAGACAAAGACCAAAGAAAGAAATAACTGAAGGAATAAAAGGGAGCAAGAGCATAAATATGTATTTAATATTTAAAAAAATACATTAAAACACACGAAAATCAGACAATAATCTAAAATAAAGTCATAATAATCAAGAAAAATTAGTAAGTGTAGTTTACTGATCTTTACAGGGGAAATTTGAATGCTACACTGCCAAAACACAGTTGCAAAACTTAAGAGAAAGTTATGAAGAAATCACAGGAGATCTTACCATACGTGCCAAAGATGTAGCAGAACACAGCCCTGAGGTCTTTATTCTGAGTGAGGCCGTTCACCACCTCAGTCAGGCTACGGGGGCCATAACGGAAGAAATACGACAGACGACTGATCAGCCCTGAGTAGACCAGGAACTTAGCAATCAGAGAGGGCATGAGCTTCAACACAGCCATCATCCAAACATCTTGACCACATTTCTGAGAAAAAAAAATACAGAAAACACATACATTTATCACCATTTTCTTGTTTACGTTACTTTTGTTTGTGAAACCTGGGCATCAACATGGAGTTATAGAATAAGTTTGGGGGAAGGATCGTGCCACTTCCTTCCAGTCTAACACCCTATAAATTCTCATGTCTACCTTTCACGTTTCACGTGATGAAGATTTGGCCATTCCCACCATCACCCTATCTGCTCTCAGTTCCTTGGTTCCTTGGTCCAGAGCTTCAGCACAAGTTCTCAGAGTTCCCTCTCCTTATACTACCACCATACACTGAAGGTATGATATGAACTTGCAAAATGTTGCCTAAAAGATACTGAGCTATAGAAATAAAGCCCTACACTATGGATTGTAGCAAGAGCCTCCTAATGAGTCAAGTAATTTTCTGTTTCACAGATATTTCTATTCTTTTAATGTTTACAGCGCATTATGCGTGTCTTATTTTCAGCCTTATTAAGTCTATATTTTGCTTTCATCCCTCTGCAAACCACTCTGTGAACTGAAAAATGATGCCAGATAAATAAAAATCATTATTAGTTCATTTAAAAAGAGGAAACTTTTACAAAAAAGGGAACTGCATTTGCACACTCAGGATTGTAGTAAAGCTTGCCTGAATTTGCATTAGTATGTGTAAAAAAATACTATGTCTTAGTGCAGTAGGTGAGAGGTCAGGACTCTTTTAGAGTTACATTTACTTGATGATTATGGCAAGATGTAACATGTACTACAGAATTCGTTCATCTTATGAGAAGAAATATGGTTTGCAGTCATACTGAACACGCAAAACAGCAGCAAACAAATCCATAAAATCACCTACATAAAAAGAGCTTTTAAAGGAAGACGAAGCATAAAGCACAGAAGCCAAAACAGGTTACATTTTTCACTTGTCCCTATCGATTAAAAATACCATGAATAATACGATCTCACTGGAGTTTTGAAAACTACAATGTATCCTTGGAAATACAGCAAGGACTCATTTGGATGATCATCCCATGAAATAATCAGTTTCGTCTTATTTATGCCCCTAAAATCATTTTTTTAAAAATAATAATAAGTAAATAAAAATAAAAAAGCCGGCATCCAATAAGATGGCTGCTTGTTTTAACTGTCATGCATCCACAGCGTCCCAGCGTGGATCTGGACTCGATCTCCCAGAGATCACATGACTTTGAACTTCCCTCTAACGCAGACACTCATACGGACTCCATCTCCCAGAATCCTCCAAGAGATCACCAGACTCCTGGCAGGTCATCGCGCTCCAATCAGTACTAATGTCAAACACCTGTATTGTTGGTCATATGACTTGTATAGTTTAGGTTATAAGCCTGGGCTTTAGCCTTAGCTGGTTGCGAGGTATTGTATTCACTGTGCGATCTATCCATTGTTTGTATTTTGTGTATGACCTTTGCCTTTCGTTCTTTCAACTCTGCCTTTTTGCTCTGCCCTTTGGATTGTTTGCCTTATCATCTGACTCCTGTTTTTTGACCTTTTTGCCTGCATCTTTGACCACGCCTTTGCCTCTCCCTTTTGGACTGTATGCTCTGTGTTACGTACATCTGTTTGTTTTTGCTATGCCTTTTGGATTTGACCCCTGCCTGTTTTGTGACAACTCTGGACTTTGAATCTTTCAGTAAAGCCTCATTTGTGTTTTACATCCGCGAGCGCCTGAATCTGGTTGGCATGTTACATTAACAATGCTGTTAAAGAGTTTGCTGTTCCTGATACTCACATTGCACCACAGTGACCAAGATGAATGCCAAAACTGACACAATAAAAGACCATAAAACATGGTCATAAGGTTTGAGCACATCTAAAACTGGCTGAAACTCAAAAGTACAACTGTGCGTTGTCTTTGAAAAGACATGGTCTCCATTTCAATCTTTTTTTCGGAATGTATTTGCCCTTGGCTAGATTAGCCTCAGTGAGCTATATAGCTAGCTATGCAAACTTTATGCAAATTTTTTTTTTTTTTGAAAACTCTAAACATGACATACATAAAGTTGAATAATTGCTTTGCATGTGGCTTTAAGTTTTGGGTTTGAACTGTGGTGTACTGCCTTTCTTATTTATTGTTGTTAGCTTTGTAGCTTTTACCATGCAGGTTAGCAGAGTAATGAGGTTCTACCACAAATCATGTATAACAGATGGAATAGTCTGCCACCTTAAACCCAGTGTGAACAGAGCAAATAGAACATTATGGTTTTGAAATGTGTATTTGTATTTGGCTTATAAACAGCTTTGTCTGTAATTTTTTTGAAAAGCAAAACGTGTTAGGTTGCAGCGGTTTCTGGGCAAATTCTGCTGCTGAAGTTGTTACTTGCGTAACTAAGTCCCTCAACCCTCATCTAACACCCATCACTTGAGCTAATGAAGTAATGGAATGACCCTTAAGATAGAGTTGGGGAGTTAATAGATGGGAAATGGCGAGGCCAAGTGGACATGGCATGTTAAAACTGGTACTGAAACAGGTGGCCTAGCTCAATCAGCCTCTCACCTTAGTCAGTCTTATAAACTCATCAATAGCCTTCTCCTCTCCTGGGAAGCACTTCTTCAGCTCCTGAGCATAGCGCTTTTTGCCACTGTAGATGGGGTAGATGCGGCGGTTCTCTGGGGGCCCCAGGACCACATGATCAAAAGGGTTGTCTAGTGGCTCCCACTGTAGCTGTCCATTGGTCAGTTGATCTGATATACACCGAATCGGTGTATTTTCCACCAGGTCACCAATGTAGTGGATACCTGAATTGGAGAAGGAGATCATCAGCGTGGTTAATATAAGAATATGCAGAAAATTCAAGGTCAAGTTTCACTAGAGTTCTTCACTTACACTCTTAAATATTAAAATAAAAATATATAATTTTAATTTGTTATAATAAAGGTGCTGAAATGGGTTCTTTGCACAATATCATGGAAGAATCACTTTTGTTTCCCTTTTTTTTCAGTGGATGGTTCTTTGGTAAATCATTTTATAAATTAGACTTTTGAGTGTGAAGAAGCTTTGAAATGTTTAAGGAACTTCCACATAATGAAAAGGTTCTATGAAGAACGTTAAGTTGATACAGGATCATTAATTTATAAGAAGGTTCTTTAAACCTTCCAAAGGTTCTTTACACCTCACGTTTCTTTTTCAAACAGGGTTCTTAATGGAATCAAATCAGATACAATGCACTAGTACAGTAAATGTTTTTGCAATTAAACATTTCACACAATATCACAATATCTAATCAAGCAGCATAAACGTTGCTGTTGTACACAGATACAACACTTGGGCGCTCAATTATAATATCTATTTTAATGAAATGCTGTTGGAAATTCTTTAAGTACTCATGATAGCCAAAATATACTGAGAAAAGCATTTCTTTTACATTGTGTGAACATTTCATGAGGAACTGACCAATAGAAACAGGCCAAAACTAAAACTGAAATATCATTACATTACCTTACATTAGAAGTTAAAAACGTTTTTTTTTCCTTCTGCAATTTTTACTTTGGAAACACATAATTCTGTCTCCCCATCACTAACATGCCCAAACACCATGAAAAGTGGCCATTTGTCTCAAGTGAACTCAGCTGAAAATCACATTTGCACAACAGCCTTCTCACCAACATCAAACTCGAAGCCTTTCTCTGTGAAGGTGTGGCAGCATCCTCCAGCCCGGTCGTGCTGTTCAAGTACCAGAACCTTCTTTCCAACCTTCGCTAGTAAAACTGCGATACCGAGTCCACCGACGCCACTGCCAATCACAATGGCATCAAGGTTTTGAGGGACTTTGCTGGTAAGAAAGCCTGTAGTAGAGAGCAGAAAAACATAAGAGATTACTATTTAAATTATGAACAATAAACACTATTTCAGGAAAAGTCAAAGCTGTAGTTTCTAAAGAGTTTCAACTCAGGACTATAATGTATGTGACGTATGGTAAGAGTAGCATGTTAGCTGGGACCACAATAGCTAAAGGAGGAAAGGAAGATGTGGGACAAGGGTAAAACTGAGTATTACATGAAAATAAATTACAATAATTTGGCTACAATGTATGAGATGCAACCTGTCCAGGGTGTTTCCTGCCTTCCGCCCAATGACCACTGGGATAGGGTCCAGCACCTGCGACCCAAGAGGACAATGTGTGTGTGTGTGTGTGTGTGTGTGTGTGTGTGTGTGTGTGTGTGTGTGCACACGCGTGTGTGTGTGTGTGTGTGTGTGAGATACAGAGTGTCAATGTTACACAAATGGTACATTAGGTATTAGCCAAACAATATACTCAATAAACTGATTCTGAGCAGAGTCATGCTGTATTGCACTGAACTGCTTTATTTAATGACTGGATCGTCTGTCCTGTTTGATATTTGAAGCTTGTATTTCAGGAACCAAACGGAAGACTTCTGATGAAAAACATCTCACTGGGAAATCCAAGCAAAGGTATGGAAGCCAATTTCTTGGCTTTTGAAAGAAAAAAAAAACAATATGCTTTTTCACAATAAAGACTTAGTATCTCATAATAATGAGAAATTATTCTCAGAATTTGAGATGCTAAATCATAATTATGAGAATGTAAGTCACAATAACGGAAAGCAAGCTGTAATTATGAGATACTATTTCTTAACTATGAGATGATAAGTCATAATTATGAGAAAGTACATCATTATTATGAGGTGGCATATCATAATTAAAGAAGTCATAAGAAATAAGAAACAGGCTTCCATTTAAAAGGCTGAAGTTGTCTTCTTGGTCGAGTTATCAGTTTCATCTTAAATGACACTGCAGTTACATCCTGGCACCTGTAGATGGCGCGTTTTTAACACAGAGAATGAATTATCTATACTAAATGCTGTGTAACCACTGTGTAATATACAATACGTAAATAAGAGAATTTTTTAATTTAATATGCGATTCTCGGTTAGGATGCATCTACAGGCGTCAGAGTGCAACTGCAGCACCATTTAAGGTGGAACGGAAAATGTGACAGTTTCTTATTCGAATAAGAAGCTAACGTTAACTTCAGCCTCGTCTTCCATACAAAGGTTCCCACTGTTTTATTTCGCAGTGGTCTGTTATCTGACCCCCACCAAGAGCTAATTACAACTCCCTCGCGCAGTGTCAGTACGAGGCTGAGGCTGAGGAGTTTCCAACAAAGTCCTCTCTAACGTCTCTGCTCCCTACTCGCCAGCTTCCTGTTCGAACTTTCTCGTTCCACCTTAAATGGTGCAGCTTTACACTCCAAGCGCTTGAGGCCGTTCCACCTTAAGCGCAGCAATTTAGCTAACTTTTTTAAACCTGAAACAGTTACTGTGACTGCCGCACCAATTTAAGGTGGAACAGGATAAGCTGGGGAATAGGAAACTGAATTCAGCCTCGTTTAAACAGGTATGAATGTCCCTGCAGTGAGGTGTTCAACCTTGTTTCAGCACTTTGTTCTTCTCCTTCTTATCCAGCACCATCGGCTTCAGCGGTTCGCGGGAGTCGAAGTCAAAAGGACTCGGTCCGGATGAGCCGAACACATATTTGAAGAGCAACACGACCAACAGCACCACAAGAACACCGACCGCGACCCACATCACTGCAGCAGCTCAGCTGACCTGAACTGAACTGAACCCGCGCTAAGCTAACGGCTCTGTCTGCGCGTGCGTTTTCGCCCTCGCGCGAGATTTGTCCGTGTGATCAGGCAACAAATCCAAAGGTCAACTCTGATTTTTTTTTTCTTCCGGAAGGCTTTTTTTTTTGGAGGGATTTTTTTCCACACAACTAAACCTTATACTTCACGCTCCACCTCCAGTTTCGGTGTTTTAACGCAATTTTTGTCTATTTCCTTCATCAGTAATGGCTTCTCAAACCCATTCATTTAGACACAGTAATGCCTCCTCACAGTGGAGGGATGGACAGATACCATTTACACAGTCTACTGATCAGAAGCTAATAGTGTAGTTTTCAGTCCAAATGTTGAGGGCAGAAGTTTCCCCTTCCTGCTCCTGCACTGTGCTGCCACCAGCAGAGCTTTTCTAACCCACCTTTCTTTCTTTACAGTGAATAAAATGCAGTGCAGTCACTGCTTTCAGTAGGACGTTTTGTTTTCATAAAACCTCTGACAAATATAGTTGTTTTCTATCTTTATTGCAGCAGGATATTAAAACCATTTCAGCGTTTTAAAGCAGCTTTATATAGTCAGAACTGTGAGATACAGTACAAGACCATGTCAGTGCAAACATTTACATACATACTTTTAGTAAACATAGCAAACAATACGCCAGAAAGCAGACAACTAATTTCAGTTAGGCTGGCTTCTTTAAAAAATAGGCATCAGATCATAAGAGCTGAAATTTCACTCAGTTAGGTTTTTAAATGCCTACATTTCAAGAAACATTTCAACAATTATTTCATCTTTAAAATAAACAACCATAAGGCACATCAGTCCTACGTAACTGCAGCATAAAGAAATAGTAACAATTAATAACCGGCAACACTCAAAACTACTTACACTGTTAATCCTCACAGCAGGTTTATATTTCATGTCCATTTCCCTCTTTTTACTGATGTGCTCAATTCAGCACATTAATTAATGGAAATGTTTAAAATCTAAACAAACTTACAAATCATTCCAAATATTGGACTTGAAAAAACAATTCCTCTAACAAACCGTCTCACAAGAAAAATCACATTAGACATCTGAAAATCATCTCCAAACACCAACTGTACACCCACAAAACTATTTACATGGGTTCAAATGATTGGTGTTACTAAACAGACATTCAATTTGAAGAGATTAAACATTTATTAGCAGATAAAAGCTAATTTGTTTTTCTCAGACTATATTTTGGGGAGATCCCCAAAGGCAGTCAGCTCGATTAAGAGGAAAACTAAAGCATTCTGAAACACTGATAATACAGAATACAGAATGAATTAGACCAAAAATGAGGAAAAGATTGAAGGAAGTTAGGAAAAAGTGCTAAAAAATGTAAAGTAATGATCAGTGCTTCTCTCCAAAACACAAAAGCTTGTAATTTAGTTAAACATATATCAGCAATTAATTTATGTATTACATATTACTGTACATAAGCGTATGCAAAAACTTGAATTTTCTAAGTGAAAACAGTTGACACATCCTCTACAGAGAACACACTTAAATATGGTAATTTCCTACCAATTGCAGTTCACCATGTATATTTATTTATATTAGTTTAACATACTGGAAAAAAAAAAAACATTTTTCACATTAGCCCCCCAAGTATGTTAAATTTGGCAAATAAACAGTAATTGTACATTAAAAAGTGTAGCTGTGTGTTCTCCGAAGAGGAAGTGTACTTTTGCATACGACTGTATATTATATGCAATAATACTGCATAAAAAGTGCATCCAGTGGCGTGAATCAGGACTGTGGTTCAGCTGGGTTCGAATGCTTCTTTCCACTGTTACAGTGCTCAGCCAGGACTGAAGGAGTGTTGATGTGGTCACTGAGCTTTCTTGCTGCCATATTTGAGTTTCACGCAAAGGGCTAAGACGTCCATGTAAAGGTTGCGTTTGAGAATCGCAGAGCCACACACCATAGCACCAGCCAGCGCGCCCGCATAGCCGCACGAAAACAGATCTTGGCCTAAAAGGAGTAATAAACTTACGTTAGTCTGGACATACACAGCACTGTAATTCTGCAGTTACCACTGTTTAAAAGAACTTGTTTACTTTGTGGGATGTAAATAAACTTTTTTTAGAATCAATTTTTTGTGTCATCCATGTCTTAAAAGCTAATAATAAATATTACCTGTGGTACAATCAAGGTCATGGTCACTGTGAGATATAGACACTGATGTGCTGCAGTTGTAAATCGTACTGTACTATCATAAAAAGGCACTGGGGCGGTACCCCTCACACCACTGAGGTGGACCCTTAAGGGTGCGTTGTTGTACCGTTGAGGTTACATTTACGTAGTCTGTACCCTGATGAAGTAAAAGGTTTACACACCACAAATCTGTTTACACACACACACACACACACACCTGTGAGGTAGAGATTTTTGATGGGTGTCTGTGGTCTTATAGAGACACAAAATTCTGCACTGAAGCGGGCAGTGCCGTGGTCAGCTCCATAGATCTCTCCTTCAGGAGCTGCTATGTAGTGCTGGTTGGTGACGGGAGTGCCTGCATCCATGTATTCTATCTGCAAAGAGAGTGAAAGAGATAGTGAGTGTTAGAAACAGAAAGACATTTAAAGATGCAAGAGATGAGAGAGAAAAAATTCTACTCAGTAAATAAGCCAAGAAAAACTGCTGAGTTTATTAGAGAGGAAGAGACAATAAGGCAGAGGGTGTATTAGAGCAAGTAATGTGCTCATACCCTATCCTTGATCTTGGGGAAGACCTGATATACCACTTCCAAAAGGGAGTTGAGGAGGGTCTCCTTTAGTTCCTTATAGTCGGCCCCCCTGTTTTTCACCTTGTCATCTTTCCATTCCTCGAACCACGAGTAGGGGGCAAAACTCACCAGACTCAGAGTGGATTTACCTGGAAAAGACAGAAAAATTCAACACAAATTCCTAAGTGAGAACTTGTCTGCTAACATACTTAAATCATTTCACATCAAACCTCTGAATGATTTTGTTTAAATATGAATGATTCACTTATGAAGAAAATCTGAAATGCCCATTCAGTCTTGTGTGGCCAGAAACACACAGAATGTTTCTCTTATCACAAACATGGCCGAGATATGAGATATGTTTATCTTACTATAATCTACACAAATGGACAAAGTAACTAGAGTTCAACCATCAAGAGATTATAACTATGTAATCTATTAGTAGCACATGCAGACGTTCATTTGAAATGCTCCTAGGGAAAGAATCAGTCATCAACTGCTTTTATTGATCGTCAATAAGCCTTTAGGCCTGGGCTGCCCACAGTGTGGGCCATGGGCCAACCTGCCACAAACATACTCAAAGCTTACCCCCTCATCCAAAAAGTGGAACAACATATTTTTACACTATAAATAACTTATTCATTTTTGAAGTATCTTAGTAACCAAAAAATTGTTTAATGTTATAAAATAAAATTAAATATCTTGAAGCCTACTTAACTGCTATACTTTCTTTATTTGTGGCCCACCACAAACATCGAACTTTAGGTTCCCCTGCCTTGGACCCTTAATGTGGAACTACACTATGCCTTTGTTATCGTAGGTGATAACTCAGTTAAATTTAACGCACTGTGTTCACCTGTGTCCCTGTACCCGTACTCTACCTGGCTTTCTCTGCTCCCAGGTGGGGTCTTTGGCAGATGGCGAGGCAATAAAAATCAGAGGTACACTCTTTATAGCTTCCTCCCTCTCTTCTTTCCTGTAGCCCTCCATCCTAGTAGGAAAACAAGGTGTGTGAGGCACAATATCAGCAGACAACAGAAACAGGAGATTAGTGCAATTATATAACGCTGTTTTTGGCACTAGAAAACTGGATCTGTGCTTTTTTTGCCTCGCCCATCTGACCAGTACTGAAGGTTTCAGTTTTATGGCTTGTGGTACCTGCACATGATCTGTACCAACAGGACTTAACTGTATTAAAGGGTGTTCTCTTTTGTCTTTGGCAACACGTACAAGCCAATGACAATTTAGCAGTTTAGTTCTTACTTTTCCAACTGACTAGAAACTCACCAAGCACTATTTCATCACCAGAGTGTAATCTAGAACGGTATACTGATGTGCCAATTGCTATTTTATAACTTTGCTATTAGCATTTATGCTTTTCTTCACAGAACAAGTGTTTTTTCCCTTTTTTTCACACTCAACAGAGAAAAATACAAGCTTTGCTTAATTCTATACATGATCCTGTATTACTGTAGACATTTGTTTGTGAATGCAGTACAGTGCAGAATAATATATCAGCAAATATGTTAAGCTAACTATAACTACCAAGCAAGATAAAGTCCAATTTATTTACTTGTTAAAAAACTACTGTGCTGTGTTTAGAGGAGAAGAGTCCCTCAGACTCAGTTTGTCCCTCAGAATGTCCAGCTGGCAGTAGACCCCACCCACAAAAGTCCCAAAACTAAAAATTCATCAAATCACGGTTCACATGAATGGCATATTCAGCACTAAAATCATTGAATTTTACCAAAAGGCGTTGAGTTTGCATGTGTGAGCATGTGTGAGTTTTAGTTGTTCTCATTTTGGTCAGTTCATGTTTTTGAATATTCAGTGAAAAACACAGTTCAGGATGGCATATGGTGGAGGATGAAAAACGAGTGTGCTGTATATCACAAGCACAGAGTTCTGAAAGCACAGGATGTGCTGCAGTGGTGATACAGAGAGAAAGGAGGCACTCACAGCTCATCCAGGTTGTTCTCGGTGAAGACCCAGTAGTTTTTGGCTTCGAGACCCAACTCCTCTTTTGTCCCGTCCAGACCCAGAAAGACACTGAGTCCGCCCTCTCCATGCTTCACAAAACTTAGCTGCTTCTGGATCGCTGTCAATCGCGCACATGCAAACACATGCACACAGGATACAGTATCTGTATTTTAATTTGGAGTTTTAAATATTGTTCCAAGATTATAAGAACTTAGAAGTAAGCCTGTCACAATTATTACAAAAGGGCCTAAAAGTTCTGCCAGGTGCTACAAGACCTTTAAAGGGGAACAGTGATGTTTGTTTATTTGAACTCCATCTGTGTTTGTCACCAGTTGGGAGCCACTAAGCACCAAGAGCTTGAAAGCAAAATAGCAAATCAGCCCATTTGGCCACTTTAGGCTTTATTTTTAATAGCTGCATATAATGAACAAAAGAGACAAATCGTTAGTTGCAATTATTTATATACCAAATATCAGTCAGCTAACATTATGATCGTGAGAGGCCTACTTAACCCCTTAAATGGTCAGGACTCGCCAACAGGTTCCAGCTTCCATTATATACTTATAACTTTATTTTAACTCAACCAGTTTGCTGTGTAGTTACACTGTAGTCTGTGTAGTTACTGAATAATATAGATTAGGATGTAATAAGGCTGGGATGTAAGGAGTGAAAAGGTATATGGAAGTGAAAAATTAACACAGATGTTTGATAAATAACAGTAAAAAAAATAAAAGTCTTTATATCTGCCAAAAATATGACTGGCATGAAAAAACTGCAGTCCATTTCTCATTCTGCATTCTTATTCTCCAGCCCTCTCTCCTTTCTGTCTCCCTCACCTGGCATGGCCTGCACCTCTTGGGGCAGGAGATGCTGGTAGGTGTTGAAGATTCCAGCATCTGAGATGACGATGGGAGCATGCACATGTACCTCCTCGTGTCCCTTCATAACACTCACACCTGCAAACACACCCCACTGCAATGTCAAAACACTTCCGGGAATACATCTTGAGTAATTTCAAATTAATACATTATCTATAGAACTACTGGAGCTGGATTAGTTTTACCAGAGGAGGTTCTGTAATGCTTGATAACGACACACTATAAGCAGGTTCTGATGTTCTTTTAGCATGAGTTGGACTAGAACAGGAATGCTATTACTGAGGGAGTCCAAGCGTAAGCCACATACAAAGGCCAGAATTATTACTGTTAGAGTGAAAACTTCACACAGTGCAGGATCCATTGAAATTACAGTACTTTACCAGGTAAAAGTAATCCAACTCAAATAGGGTTTGGGACAGACTTGATTTGAGTATAGCTGTAAAGGATAACAGTATACTTTACTACAGTTTACTTATATTTGAACAACTCACATTTTAATGTCTAAAAAATATAGCTTAGAAATATTAACTTTTGATCCTGAAGTTTAGAATTTCTGCACTAATTTACTTAAGAATTAACAGTTTACTTATGCTACTCAAGTTGAAATAAACGAGTTAATTCATTTAGAAAAAGTGAGGCAATCTGTTTGCCATCCTTTTTAAATTCAACTTACTGTTTAAAGTTTACAGAGTAGGGGTGGGTGAATAACTATGAAAATCTTTACTTTTTGACAAAACTTCCAGCCACTGTGCTGGTTCTTTTAGTGAAGTTTAATTAAAACTGGGCCATTTTAAAGCTCAGTAAATTTTAAATAAAAAATACCGTATAAGTATTGGTCAATATTTTAAGGTATCAATATCAGTATTGAGGAGAAAAAATCATATAACACCATCTCAGTTCTCATTTCTTTACTTAGTCAGAAATCCTGCTTTGTCAAACACCCCCTAAGGAGAAAAGAAGCTGTACATGTTTTTGAGGTTACCTATAGCCTCCTTGGCGTCGTTGAGGAGGATGCGGTTGACGGGAGCTCTGACCAGGACAGCTCCTCCTGCCTTCTCTATGATGGGAATCATGTGGAAGGCAATCTCACTTGCTCCTCCCTTAGGGTACCAGGCACCAGGCATATAGTGGCACAAAAGCAGACTATGCATGGAAAAACTGGCTTCTTTTGGTATGTTTCCTAAACAAACACACCAATCAGTATCAAAAACACTGAAAGAAAATAAGCAAATGAATATTTAAAAAGCTAACAGGAACAGAATAATTGGCAGAACAAAGTTTTAATGTTTCTTGGTGAAGCCAAGGTTTCTTATAATACTCATGTGCTGTTTTCAAGCAATGTATGTACAATGTGCAATCACATCTATAAGCGGCACCTCTGTGATTGCTGTGGACCCCTGTAATTTTAATTAGGGGTGTAATGATACACAATATTCAAAATTTGATTCAATATGGTAGAGTGGTGGCTTGATGTAGTACACTTTTCGACAACGCAAATAATAAAGAGCACCTGAATACGTGCCAATTTTTTTAATTCTGAGGTTGAGACTCAATCTGATTTTTAGTATTTCTGTTAAAAATATTACAGCATGATTCTACTGAGCTCTAATTCTATTATACAAACAATAGCTTGGCTCAGATATATTAAAGTTCTCCCAAAGAACTATGTCAATGCCTAATTTGCCCACTGAGAAAAATAAATACTAAAAATCACAACTACTTCAGGCTCTACAGGGTGACTCATAGCAGCAGGCACACAGCATATGTTAGTGTTTTTTTTTCTTTTTTATCCTGACTCAGTAACACGTCTTTTAATTTTAACAAAACAAAAAAAAACATCTGTACAGTTTAAGAAAAAAATAAAAAACAACAAAAAAATAAAAGGAAGCAAAAGTATAAATGTGTATACAATGCAGAAAATATATTAAAACATAAGAAAATCAGAAATTAGTTTATTGATTTTTACAGGGGAAATCTGAATGCTACATTGACAAACCACAGTAACAAAAGAGAAAGTTATTAAGAAAAAATCACAGGAGATCTTACCATACGTCCCAAAGATGTAGCAGAACACAGCCCTGAGGTCTTTATTCTGAGTGAGGCCGTTCACCACCTCAGTCAGGCTACGGGGGCCATACCGGAAGAAATACGACAGACGACTGATCAGCCCTGAGTAGACCAGGAACTTAGCAATCGGAGAGGGGATGATCTTCAACACGGGCATCAACCAAACACCTTGACCACATTTCTGAGCAAAGAAAGAACAGGAAACACATACATTTATTACCATAGTTTAGTTTACATGACTTTTTTTTGTAAAACTTGGGCATCAACGTGGAGTTAAGGAATGGAGGTTTGGGGGAGTACCATACCTGAAACCCCACCTCCTTTTAGTCTAATACCCTTTAAATTCCCATCTCTACCTGGGTTGCCAGGTTAAGAACACTGAACCTACACGAACAAGTGCAACGTAAAACTTTAAGAGCAAGCGACAAAGAGTCACACGCTGTTAGTTGATCAGCTACGTATACATTTGCAGTGTTGTTATTGTTTGCAAATTATAAACCAGCTCATGTGGATTTTTTTATTCCTCTGTCATTGTTAGCTAGAGGCATGGCTGGCTATGTATGGCAGCCAAAGCAAAGACAGTTATCTCAAAAACAAAAGCCTAATGCTCCGAAAAAACTTGCTGTTTGGAAGAAGCTGAAGTCAGCTTCTTATTCTCCAGCTTCTAGTTTGAATTTTCCCATTCCACCTTAAATGGTGCAGCCCTTACAGTCTAGCGCCTCAGCATCTTCTCCAGTTATTTTCCCGTTCCACCTTAAATGTTACAGCAGTCACATTCTGGCACCCCACCGGAGCGTAACAGCTGAAACATTTAAAGTGGAACGGGAAAATTGTAGCAAGAAGCTGGAGAACAGGAAGCCAACTTCAGCCTCGTCTGCCTCGAAAACCCAGCTGCACATGGACCAGAGAGCGTGAATGTGAGTACTCAACTGCTGGAATAACTTAAATTATTGCCCCCCCATTAGTACCCGTGATAAAGAAGGTAATCTTAGCTAACCTTAGCTGAAGCTTAATATTTGCACTAATGAAAATTAGCGAACTCAGCATCTGTCTTAAAGTCCTTTCAGGCTCTAAGCTGTCTCCATCTTTCAAATGCATCGCCAATATTTATTCGCCTTTTACTATGTCTCTGGTCGCGTAATGTAATGTGTTTCATACCTGGCAACCCGGGGTGTTGAAACAGTGTTGGGAAATGGGCAGTAGGTGAGATCACAGGCTAAAACACAAACAGACTTTATGCTCAAGACCAGAAATTTCAAAGGAGAACATACTGGTTGTAGCATTGTTGTTGGAAAAGCCAGTATTTTAACTAAGCATGTTTCCTTAATCTCTGATGACATATCACAGTCTTTTCATGGTTTACTATAGTAAATATATTACATATTGCTCTATATTTTGTTTTCATTCCCATGTAAATCATTCCTCTGTGAACTTAAAAAATATGCCAGATAAATAAAATACATTATTATTTTTCCATTTTTATGTATACATTTATTTATTTTTACCCTGCTATTGACTTTGGGAATGATACCTGGTCCACTGCAGTATACAGTACACTGTAGTACTGTAGTCATCACAGTAATAAAGTAAAAAAGGGGGCACTTTTACAAAAAGGGGAACTGCGTTTGCACAGTCAGGACTGAAGGGAAGTTGGCCTGAACTTGCATCAAATAAAAAGGCAGACAGTCATATGCAATAGTCCTATTGCTCTTGGAAACAACAGACACTCCATGTGTGAAAAAACTAGTATGTCTTAGTGCAGTAGGTGAGAGGTCAAGACTCTTCAAGAGTTACATTTACTTCTACGTAATGATTATTTCTAATGATTATAGCAAGATTATTGCAAGATGCTGTGAATAAAAGACTGTCTGACACTGTCTATTCTAAGGAATAGACTTCTAAAACTTCACTTCTCTCTAACGATTAACAATACCTCACTGGATGCACTGTGTCTTTGGAAGTCTACACTGAGAACTCAATCGGATTTAATTATCAGTTTAGTCTTATTTATTCCCCTGAAATTGTTATTCAACAAGCTGTATGCTTGTTTTAGTGTTTAGTGTTTTGTTTAATGCTATCAGAGTTTCTTATTTCTGATACTCACGTTACACCAACCTGATCAATGCTAATGTAAAAACTGACACAGTAAAAGACCGTAAAACATAGTCAAGTTTTGAGCACATCTGAAACTGGCTGAAACTCAAGAGTATAACTGTGTGCTGTCTTTGCCTTTCTTTTTTTGTTGTTGTTAGCTGTGTAGCCTACATGATGAAATTCTATCAGGATTCACGTATAACAGACAGAATAGTTTGCCACCTTAAACCCAGTGTGAACTGAGCAAATATAATGTTATGGTTCTGAAATATGAAGTACTTATTGCAATGGCTTATAAGCAGCTTTGTCTGTAATTTTTTTCTGGTTTGAAAAGAAAAACGTGTTAGGTTGCAGTGATTATTGGGCAAATTCTGCTGCTGAAGTTAACACTTATGTTACTCAGACACTCGCCCCTCATCTAACACCCTTTACTTTAGCTAATAAAGTCATTAAATGACCCTTAAGAGTCAGGAAGTCCCTTGAGGGGAAATGGCGAGGCCAAGCAAACATGGTTAAAACTGGTACTGAAACAGGGGGCCTAGCTCACTCAGCCTCTCACCTTAGACAGTCTTATAAACTCATCAATGGCCTTCTCCTCTCCTGGGAAGCACTTCTTCAGCTCCTGAGCGTAGCGCTTTTGGCCACTGTAGATGGGGTAGACGCGGCGGTTCTCTGGGGGCCCCAGAACCACATGATCAAAAGGGTTGTCTAGTGGCTCCCACTGTAGCTGTCCATTGGTCAGTTGATCTGATATACACCGCATCGGTGTATTTTCCACCAGGTCACCAATGTAGTGGATACCTGAACCAGAAAAGGAGGTCATCAGTGTGATTAATATAAGAAAATGTGGAAAAATTTAAGGCCAAGGTCAAGTTTCGCAAGAGTTCTTCACTTACACTCTAAAAGCTAAAGATTCTGAAATTGGTTCTTTGCACAATACCATGGTAGAACCACTTTTGCTTCCCTTAAAAAAAATCCGTAAATGGTTCTTCGGAGAACCATTTTGTAAATATTTTTGAGTGCGAAGAACCTTTTAAACGTTTGAAGAACCCAATATTATGGTCACTGTTGTATCTCTATTTTTTTGTATTTTCCATTTTTCTTCATCATTTGAGCACAGCAGCTGTCCTTTACATTGTGTAAACATTTAATGAGGAATGGACCAACAGAAACAGTCCAAAATCTCAAAAACTAAATCTCATTACATTACCCTACACTAGAAGTTAGAAACATTTTTTGCCTTCTGTAAATTTTACTTTGGAAATATACGGTCTGGTCTGGACAGCGACAATCATACTGCCCCTTCCTACTAACATAGCCACACACAACGATAAGTACATATGTCTCATGGTAACTCAGCTGAAGACCACGATCATACAACAGCCTTCTCACCAACATCAAACTCGAAGCCTTTCTCTGTGAAGGTGTGGCAGCATCCTCCAGCCCGGTCGTGCTGTTCAAGTACCAGAACCTTCTTTCCAACCTTCGCCATTAAAACTGCAACACCGAGTCCACCGACGCCACTGCCAATCACAATGGCATCAAGGTCCCGGGGGACTCTGCTAGCGAGAAAGCCTGTAGTAGAGAGCAGAAAAGGATAAGAGGTTATTTTTTCATAATATAAAGGAATATTAAACACAATTTCAGAAAACAATGTCTAAGCTGCGGTTTCTAAAGTCACACATTACAATGTCCACACGTTAGCTGGGACCACAACACAATGTGAGACAAAGGTTAAAACAGAGTATTAATGTACAAAATGACAATAATTCAGCTACAGTGTATAAGAGAGTAGTAATGATACACAAACTGAACATTGGGTATTAGCCAAACAATATACGTAATAAACTGATTCCAAGCAGAATCAACTGGTTTGATGATTAGATCAGTCCTGTTTGATATCTGAAGCTTGCATTTCTGTCTTCATGTTTTCTATTTTAACACTGCCTTCTGTATCAGAGTAGCTGAATGCTGATATGCTACACCAAACCAAACTCTAATCTCAAAGGGGAAATCCACAGATTTTTCAAATTTCATGCATAATTTAATCTTTAAGATGAAAACAAAGTCATTCAGAGTGGTTTGATGTGAAATGCACCATTCTAGAGAAATTACCATCAGAATTGTTCACAGTGGTGATCATAGGAGAGTTCAAAGCCTCTAAAAGCTACCTTAACAGAGTTACTTCGTGAAATGGTTATGAACGTATCTTTTAGCATAGAACCTATTTTTTAAAAACAAGAACATGGCAAAGAGGTACATGTAGAGCATTCCAAGGCAAAACTGGACCCAATTTTTTTTTGTTCTAGAGTGGCCACTATTTTATCATTATCAACATTACATATAAAAAACAAGAGACGTGTAGGTTCACCGGTGGTTTTGCATAGCAAATATAATTGCTATAACTGGACCCCTGGTTCCTATCACCACCACTGTAAGGGAATAGGAGTCTTAAGGTTTCTCTACAGTGAGCTGTTTCACATCGAATCACTCTGAATGACTTTGTTTACATCTCACCCACCGATTTGTGCAGAAGCTTTTGATAAATTGGTGGAACTCCCCTTTAACCACAGGACCCAAACGGAAGACTTCTGATTAAAAATCTCTCTTCGTGGAAGCCAGACAAAGGTTCCCACGTCCTTTTTTCTATTTTCGCAGTGGTCCATTATCTGATTTCCAAAAAGAAGCTAACCACAACTCGCTGTCAGTATGAGGTACTCCCAGCTTCTTGTTCGAATTTTCCCGGTCCACCTTAAATGGTGCAGCTGTTCCATTCTGGCGTCTGCCGCTCCTGAGAGGCGCCAGAATGTAAATGCTGCACCATTTAAGGTGGACCCGGAAAATTCGAACAAGTTACTGGCGAAGAAGAAACTGACCTAAGCTCCATTTAAACTGTAAATTAGTGAGGTGTTCAACCTTGTTTCAGCACTTTGTTCTTCTCCTTCTCGTCCAGCACCATCGGCTTCAGCGGTTGGCGGGAGTCGAAGTCAAAAGGACTCGGTCCGGATGAGCCGAACACATATTTGAAGAGCAACACGACCAACAGCACGACAACAAGACCGACCGCGACCCACATCACTGCAGCAGCTCTGTGATAACCGGAGCGCTAACTCAGCTCAGCTCAACTGAACAGAAACCGAGCTAACTGCTTTTTCTGCGCGTGCACGCGCAAACGCACTGCCACCCTAGCGCGAGATTGGTCAGTGCGATCAGGCAACACGTCAAAAGGTCAACTTCATTCCCGTCACATCACTTAATAACCTTTATCAAAGATCAAATTATTTCTTCATTTAGGAGGAGGTCAAGTGACGTGGGTTAGATGCAATAGGTCACTTTAATGCAGCTGGATATTTATATGATGATGCTGTATGGAATATTAAAGGGCCCACACCATACGTTTATTCTCGCATTTCATTTTTTCCCCTGAGGTTCACTTATGATATTTGTGTGGTTTTATGTACAAAAATGGTTAATCAAAAAATTAATCTTTACAAGACAAACTCTCTTTATCCCTTATAAGTAAACATACTGGGCTTTTAAGAATGATAATGAACCTAATTGGATGGCAGGAACTGTGCCTCATCCAGATTCGTTCATTCGTTTAAATAGAGTGACGCTCTCTTACGTAAATCTTATGTAAGGCCTCTACAAACGAAATAAAAATGTCACTAGAAAGTGTTGAGGACCTGTTGTGGATTCACACCGACTTCCAGCTTGATGCTTATAATGTGACACAGCTTCGCCCACCAAGCCCGAGCATCAAAGACATCAAAGGCGTCATTCTACCAATCACGTGCCGCTTATGGCACGTTTGAAAGTTTAATAATATTCTCATACTACTTCAAAGTCTTTTCTCTCAATAAATCAAGGAAAATTCAGTTATCCAGAATATGTGCACTTTAACATTAATGATATTCAAATATGGGTCATTAGCTAAGTGAAAAGAGTATGCTACTTAATAGTAAAAGTAATCTACCAAAACACCTTATATTAATAACATTATATTCATTTTGTCTTAATATCATCTAGTTCATATTAGTTACTACATTTTGAATTAAGTTCAAACCGATAACAAACAAAAGCAACACCAAACATGCGGGTTATTAATTAGCCAGATGAAAAAGAAGAAAGCAGAGAACTAAAATGACCTAATAAAAGCTTCTGATTGTTTATCCATAGACGCTGTTCATTTTGTAATATGGTACTGATTACAAATCGCATGACCAATAAAAGTAACCAGTAATGTAATCTTTGAGATTGCTTAAAATGTGTCATTTACTCATTAGATTATGTTTTTTATATCTTGCATCCATTTTTAATGATTATGTGGACTGTTTCCATTCATCATGAAGTTTTAACACAGTGCAAAGGGTAACTGGAATTTTCAAATTATGCAAAAAAAAAGTAAAACACAAGGCTTTCACATGACAAGATATATGCATTATATATACACACACATTCTCTATCACACTTTATCAGCTATAGCTCTTTATAGACATGATTCTAGATTCTTAGGTCAACCGCACTTCTGTAAAACATGTTAAAAACACTTGTATGACAGTTTTGCATTTTCAACATTGTCTGCCATATCATATTGCAAGGCAAGGGATACAAGAAAGTAAAGGAACTTGGAAGCCTAGCTGTCCATTAGAATGTATTTAAAAAAAGGACTGAATGGGAGGAATATATGAGCACAACTAGAGCACTGTTAAAATTTCAAGCCAATGAAATTATCTAGTTCATATTAGTTAATTCCAATGTAATGTATTAACTAATATGAACTAGATAATATATATATACAAGCTTTGCCAGAGCTTTCATTGGCTTGAAATTTTAACAGTGCTCTAGTTGTGCTCATATATCCCACCCAAAATGTAATGTAATGCCATTCAGTCCTGTTTTTAAATACATTCTAATGGACAGCTAGGCTTCTGACAGCTTCTGAAAGCAAACTGAAGCTTGGTTTGAGTCATAATTAGCCTGGTTTAAAAACATCAGTGGAAACAAAGCATTTTCGATGGTCTTAGTAGGAATCATGGGGGCAAGGGATCTCGCAGATCCTCTTCTCCAGTGATGAACAAGACACATCTGCCCATTTCCCAGTATAGTAAACCGCACAGTCCTCTCCCAGTGGATTATGTGCTTTCCAGTCATCTGGAGGATATGCCCACCACCTTAAAAAGAGCAACCTATATCATCAAACTCATTTAAATCCAGTTAGACATTTGACTTCTAAAAGTGTTCAGAAAGCATTCAGACCTCATTGTTTTTCCCTCATTTTATATTACACTTTTCCTCTTTAATCTGCAAAAAATACTTCATAATAGTAAAAAATAATAAAACAGGTTTTCACAAAGTTTCGTTTATGAATTTTAAATAAAAAATGGAAATATTACATTTAGTACTTTGTGGAAGTTTCCCAACTGTAAAACATCCCCACCACATGATGCTGCCACCACCATGCTTCATCATTAAGATGGAGTTGCTCAGGTTGTGAGTGGTGACTGGTTTCCTCCAGATGTAATGCTTGGCATTCAGGCCAAAGTGGTTTCATCAGGCCATAGAATCTTGTTTCTAATGGCCTGAGGGTCGTTTGGTGCTTTTTACTTTTATGAAGTGGCTTCTACCATAAGACCCTGATTGTTTGAGTGCTGCAGAGATGGTTGTCCATCTGTGAGGTTCTCCGATCTCCACATAGGACATCTAGAGTTCTGTCAAAGTAACCTTCAGATTCTTGGTCACCTCCATGCCTAAAGCTATTCTCCTTCATTTGTTGGAATCCACTGTGTTCTTTGGGCACCCTTCCCCAGATTTGTCCCAAAATGCCGACTGTGAAGACACACAACTCCTTTGACCTCCTATCTCCTGGCTTGTTGTTTGCTTTGACATGCACTGTCAGCTGTGGGGCTTTATATAGACAGAGGTGTGCCTTTCCAAATCCAATCAAATGAATTTACCACAGGTGATCTTTAATCAAAGGAGAAGCATCTCAGTGAAATATCAGTGAAAATAGAATTCTCCTGAGCTCAATTTTGAGTGTCAGCAAAGGGCCTGCACACTTGTGTAAATGTAATATTTCATTTTCAATAAGTTTATAAAACTTTGTGAAAACTCTATAAAACATTGGATATTCTTCTTCTGTTTCTTGGTTGTGGGAGATACATAATGCATAGAATCTCCTGCAGAGGCACCCAGCAAGTTATAATCAAGTTAAATAGTCGTTATCATTACTATTTTTTTTTTTTTTTTGCAATTAGTTGCTATTATTTAATCTAGACAAGTACTGTCTGATCACTATGGAGCCCCACAGGTGATAATGCATGGCCACAACTTAGTAAGGCATGGGAATGAGATAATTAAATTGCAGCCACCACTTAGTAAGGCGTGGGAACGAGATCATGCCTTGCTAAGTCATGGCCACACATTAGAATCTCATTTACACGCCTTACTAAGTCGTGGACACATGTTAAAAGTCTGAGTGTATTCAACTCCATTTTTATTTCCAGACAACTAAAATAAATGTAACGTTTCAAATGTAATCCAACTGAGACAAAACATTACCTCAAACAGTTTGAGTAAACTGAACTTATCAGAGTTTACAGTGTGCATGGCCTGACCAGAACTTACGACAGATTCTTCATTAGGGGTGTGTGATCCACCCAGAGCCACACCCCCTCATCTTCAGCATCTGTCAGACCAATCCAGTGGAGATCAGCGGCCGCCATTCTAGCAAGAAACTCCTGAAAAGCAAGTAAAGCAGGCAAATACCATTTGAGAAAACTGGTTTGACAAAGGAATGATAGCAATTGTGGTGTTATAGGTTTGCTTTGTGTTTCTTCTACCATACATGTTCTTCTTTACTGTTGACGATGACCAGGTCTCCGCCCAGTTCTTTACAGCGCTCTCTACTGGAGTTCCAGGACATTTTGTTTAGGGAGAAAACGTAGAGTCTGTCTTTGACCTGAACTTGTTCCTCCTCTATCAGTTCTAAATGGAGGAGTTCACAGTTATGTGAGAGAAAATATACAGTTAAATATGCTCTCAGTGACCACTTCAGTAAGTACACCTGCCTTGTGGCAATACAGTTCAATAAATATTCATCCATTAATCATTTATCAATCAAACCACTTCAGCATTTAACTTTTATTATTCTTCCTACTCTTACCGGCATGTTACTCCCTTTTTCTGGCATGATATTTTTACATGATTTTTTATTTGTTTTATTTATTTTTTTACTGTTTTCATTTTTTTCTATTACTGCTTCTATTTGTTACATCTCATTGTTTACTGAATTTACTGTTTTATTTGAATATCTCTTGTTTCTTTTCTTTCTCTGTTGGTTTTAGTTCACATTGCAAAGCACTTTGAGCTGCATTTTAAATGTACAAAAGGTGCTATATTAAAAAATCATATTATATATTATGTATATTTTTACTATTATTGTTATAGTTCTTGTGGTTGTTGTTGTTTTATTACAAAGTCTATGTTAAAGGGAGCTAACAAAGTGGACAATGAGTGTAGAGACAGGGCAGGTGTACCTAATGAAGAGACCAGTGAGGGGGTATATGGGTACAGTTGTTTAATTACTTATATACTATGACAGACAGTGTCAAACTCTAAGTTGTTATTGCGAGTTTATGTAAGGATACATACTTTCACTTGAGCACTTCTTCATCTGCAGGGGTGAACTGCAGGGTGCCAGTTTGATTTTACAATCTAAAAAACATAATTAATTAGTCAAATAAAACATGTAGTCTAAAAAAGACATAATATAGGATGTTGGATGATATATATAGTTTATTAACCCCTTGAAATTCTCATCTTATTTTATTGTCAGGCTCATTCAGTAACTACAGGGACTTTTCTACAGCTATTCCTAGGTTATGAAAGTGTGTAATAAAACTTTCAGCTTGGTGCCCTGGCCATTTAAGGGGTTAACATATAAAATGTTTTCTGTAACATAAAGGCATATTGTGTGTGGAGGAGTCCTAATCCATTTCTTAAAGGGCCCATATCCTAAAATATTTTATTTTTCTCCCAGAAGTCCATTTGCATCATTTGTATGGGAATATGTACCAAAAACAGTCATAATTCATTTTACACAATCATTTTCCAAACTTATTTCATCCTGTACAATTAAATAGGCTGTTGTTCTTGTTACTGTGACTTTAAGAATAATGTATGTAAATGAGCTCTGTTCTGATTGGCTGCTCTGTATTGTACACAATTCAAAAGTCAGTCCAGGCTGAAACACTCCTTATAACTTCAGTGTGAAATGGCAGGGCTAAACTGCTGCATGCATGCATGTTTTTTTTATGACATCACAGAAACAATAAATTAAATTGTTTGTGCAGCTTAGTTTTCATATTTGGACTGAATGGACTGAGGATTGAGTGGCATGTTTTGAAACTTTAACGCTGTTTACATACCACATTAAATTTTTGTATTTCATAAAACATTCAAAATTTTTCATATATGGCCCTTTAAGATCCATTGGATCACTGGAGATGTACTTGATAATTCTTAATAAATATGTTTGTCTTGTTATGTACTGAAGGTTTTCAAGCAATTTTTGACAAAAAAAAAAAAAATGGACACACTTACACAAATACGTCAGGACCGCATTGGTCAGCAGAGAGAGGAAGAGAAGAACAGAAATAGCGATCACCAAACGACTACCATCTCTCTTACTGCCTCCTGGACTCTTATCTGCAAAACACATGTTGGCTGTTATTAGCAGGAGTTATTTATCTGTGCACATTAAAAAAGAGAAACAAATGTGCTGACACATACATGAGCAAATCCAGAGTGAAGCTGTACTTTAAAATATAGTTATTAATGCTATTATTTGTTAATTTTCATAGCATTATGACCACACTAGTAATTTGCCCAGTACATTTTAGCAGTGCTGCTCTGAGAACTACAGTATATGAAGTAGGCTATACGATGGTATGATGAGGTAATTAGGTAGATGTGCAGGTACATTTTTCATTCATCAAGGTACAAACAATGTAAATGTACCCTCAAAGGTACAACAGTGGTTTTAAGGTCCAATTGTGCGCCTTACGTAAGTTTTTAAAGTGGAAAAGTTCGTATTTGTACCTTTTCATAATCTAATGTTTTAAAACAGAACAATAAAATAAAAAGCCTGGAGACGAGACAGGGTGTGTGGAGTCAGTACAACTTAGAAAATATATTTTAAATGGATTAAAGTACAATTATGTTACCTGACTAAAGGTACTGAGATGTACCCTTGATGGTACCACCCCAGTTACAAGAGGGGTACTGCCCCAGTGACAGTTTAGTACCTTTTTTCTGAGAGTGTAACATACTGTTTATCATGTAAGCTGAATTCTTCTTACAGCTGAGTACATGCTTAATGATGCAGGCTAGATTTCATCAGAGGTGAATCCAGTTCCTGTGAATGCTATAGTAAGTTGGGCTGTTACCCACCCAAATATTATTTTCTCATAATGTTAATGTACACCATTTTCCCCTTAGCAGTTTGCTACCCTGATATAATCAGTGGGTCTAACCTGGCCACCTCACTGAAAAGGCTCTGCTACACCCCTGCAGAAGAGCAGAGCACCCCTGTTTAATACCCCTGATTTCAGAAGAAACACTAGAGGAGCTTTCCATCTTATAGACTGCTAATAATTTTGTTTGATTCAGGAAATATTGTTACTAGATTTCTCAGAAATTCTTAAGTTTACAAGTAACAAGAAAAAACATCTAGAAATATGTTGAATGATGCTGTAATATTTGTATAACAATGTTATAATGAGGGATTTATAACAAAGATTTGAGATGATTTCATTTGCCAATATGTCATTTTTTGGTCTCACTTTATTTGAATGGTGCACTATAGTCCCATATAGAAAATCTACAAATGTTCAAATTGTTAACAAACTATCTGTTGAGACTCAGTTGATTCTAAACAGTGGTGGGGTTAGGGTTAGGATTTGGACCAGGGTCAGGGCTAGGACCAGGGTGAGGGTTGGGTTGAGGTTAAGGTTAGGGTTAGGATTTGGACCAGGGTCAGGGCTAGGACCAGGGTGAGGGTTGGGTTGAGGTTAAGGTTAGGGTTAGGGTTAGGATTAGAGTCAGGTTTAGAGTTAAAGAAAATGATTATGGTCAATGTAGTTGATATTTAGTTGAATGTAACTTGAAAGTAAATTTACAAAGCATCTACAGTGGACTATGCAGATAAAGTGTTACCCATGTTTTGCAGTATAGCTCTTGAATTTTGGCCAAATACTTCTGTCTTGGTTTTTCTTTCCCACATTGTTATTGGGACACTGTCTCTTACACTGTCTGGCAAACTTTTCTTGAGTAATAGCTTCCTTTGTGAAACTCTCTCACAGTTTTTTGCCGAACTCTTGATATTGTGGGCTGGAGTACCTTTACTCCACTTTCAGCCGCTGAACTCTGGGCCTCCTTCAGATTCTCAGTGGCTTTTCTCAAAGTCTACCTTACAAGTCTGCATCCTCTGAGTTTTAAAAGGCAGCCTTTGTAGTATTTTTGGTGTGGTTTAACGTCCACTTTTGATCCCTTGCTCACCGAGAGAGCCAAACATGTAAATGTTATTTATATCTTAAAAAAAAAAAACAACAACATTATGGCAATTTTATATATATTATATAATATTGCCCCATCCAAAAAAAGGTCTTTATTTTTTCATTTTTATTTTTCTTTATCATTTGAGCTCTGCAGATGTCCTCTATGTGTGTGAAAGATTGATGATGAATGGACCAACAGAAACACTCCAAAATTGCTTGAAATAAAATCTCTTTCCATTAAATTACATTTAAAGTAAAGAATGTTTTTGCCTTCTTTTGTAAAGTTGAACACCCCTGGTCAAATCACGTTTCACTGATTTTCTTAGTATAGAGACATTTTATGTCCTCTGCAGCAATCAAGCTTAAATTTTAGTGCACAATTTCTCCTTTTTTATTTAATTTTCAACAAAAAAATCAACAAAACGTGTCATTTGACCACCTAAATGTTTGCATACAACTCTGTATGTAGTCACCTATTTAGTCACCTTTGGCCCAGCTGGCAGAACTGTGACTTTTATATATATGTGAGTCAGTGAGTCACAGTAATGCCAGCTGGGTCAGAGGTGACTTTAGGTGAATTTAATGGAGCACAACTACAGTGCCCTACTTTTCATGACCTGTCTGTCTGCTTAGCTGTGAAATCAGCCAAATCTTGAAACTAATCCAAGCGTTTTCCACCTTTCATGTGGAAGATTTATTTTGCAAAAACATTCACAACTAGCATTCTTTACAATAGAATATAGAGTGAGCTAAGTGGATGAATATCTATCTCACAATATAGGCTATTATAGTACAATGTTTTCTGCCCCTGGTGAACCATAACTATTAGAGCTAGGCCTTCAGTTTGGGCTATAAAAGTAAAAACTTGCTTAAAAACAAGAAAAAAACCTACCTCTGTGATCAGTGGTGGACAGTAACGAAGTAAATGTAATTTGTTACTGTACTTAAGTATTATTTTCATGTATCTGTACTTATTTCCATTTTGGGTGACTCTTTACTTTCACTCCACTACATTTCAAGGTCAAATATCTTACTTTTTACTCCACTACATTATGAGAAATCTGCCGTTCCATTTGGTTTATGTGTGTATAAAAACGTAACGTCAAAACAAAAGAAGCGCGAAGCAAGAACACCAACCAGGGCACAGCGCGCACTCTGTTTTGACCTGTTGGACATACCGACCCAGTGCAAGCACACGGTTCAACGTCAGTGAAGCAGCGTAAAATTTTGGGAGTGTCTATTCCACATAAATGATGTAACTAACCTAACTTTGTGTAAATAGACCACAATATAGAAATATGTACACATATGCAGTTGCGACTGACATGTCTTTTTTCTGAATTTATACAAACACGATTTCATTTTATAGTAAATTTGTTTTGGCTAGTTTATGTTTATGAACAGAGACCTGCAGATGCACTACAGTAAAGGAAAACCTGTGTTTAAAACAAATTTTATTCAACTTAAACTTGTAACTAAGTTGCAAATAAATCTTAAACTGAAACTTTGTTTGTTTGCAAAAAGTTATTTCAGAGCCACTCGTTTCTACCTAATGGAAATTGTTTGCCTTCAGTGTTTTGTGCAGGGACAGACTAATTAATGACCTTCTATTAAAAGATTGGTTTACCAAGACTGACACTGGAGTATTTTCACCTAAAATGAGTTCATAAAGCAAGAGTCTTGTTACAAAAATGATAATAGCACATTAGAGTCATAATTAATCTTTTAGTACTTCTACTTTCGATACTTAAGTACATTTGAAGGCAAATACTTTTGTACTTTTACTCAAGTCGAAATCTAAAGGGAGGACTTCTACTTTTACTGGAGTAATATTTTAGCTTGGGTATCTCTACTTTAACTCAAGTACGTGATTTGTGTACTTCGTCCACCACTGTCTGTGATAATGCTAATTTCTTCTAGTGCCCATGCAGAAACTGGACAGAGACAGTGTGGTGACATTGCGTGAGCATCAAATACCTGAGCTAATACCTCAACTAGGCTAACTCATTTGTGAAGACATCACCCAGATGTGTCAGTCACCAACATGAGGAGAAAACATGAATCTTTCATAAAACATAAACCATTTATAAACCTTTATAAACAGGTTTAAACATAGTTTATTAATGGTTATTAATTACACCAAAAAACGCATTAATAAGCAGTTAACACATTAATAAAAGGTCAGCAGGGTAGTGAGAACATGTTCATCTGTACTGTTAAAGCTCAGATCTTTCTGCTTACCTATCTACTTTTACTCAGATACAACAACTCACTAAAGTCCCTTTTATTTGTGTGTTATAACTGCTTCTTAATGATTTTAAGAGTGTTTACGTCCTAACAACCATTGATAAACAAATTTTAAGCAGGTTGTGTTCCCCTTTATGAAGGCAGTCTTATTGTAAAGTGGTGCCGAGTTCACGCCTAACCGTCTCGGACAGGTCACAACATGTAAGTCACTGTAGTTGTATTAAATTAAACCCAGTCACATTTGACCCAGTTGGCATTGCTGTGATCACAGGTTAATGGATGTAAGAGAGTGTGGCATTTTCCTTAGTCTGAGTGTTCGCTTTTGTTGTCGCTGAAACTTTTATTCAGATATTACCCAGACTCCCTCACTGCCTCACTCTGCGCTGTGTTTAATAAAGCAGGACCACGACGGAATCCGCATCGGTTTATTCTGCACAGGAGCAGATAACATCGCCCCGCAGATCCACTTCGCACATCAGCGTGCAGAAGAAGAAAAAAGAAAAAAAAACAACAAAAAAAAAACAAGCGCAGCTGCAGTTTGAGAGAAACGTGAACTAGACATTAACTGTAGTATAATACTCATTAAAACCATTTTACCACGTCTTATTATTACGTTACATCAGGTGCAGCCGTGAGACCAGCGGCAATCGCCCCGCAGACCTACCTGTCCATTAAAACCAACATGCTTTTGACTCTATATGCTCTGGTTACGCTGTACATCAACTTACAGTGTGCAAAATAACGTTTTAAACAACGTACATGAACTAACCATAGGCATCACGCACTGTCCAGCTAACATGACTTTCTGTTGCTAGCAGTGTGCAATGCTGTATTACGCTTATTTTCACCACAGAGCATCACACATGTCGAATTAACTCATGGTTTGCACTGAAAAATCACAATATTCGTTGCTGACTTATATAAAGTCTAGACTATGGGTTTTTTGCTTATACATGTCAATATACACTTTATAACTACTTTATAACTAACAGCTACATTGAAATGAAAGGAGCAAATGAAAACAGGCGACTCCGCACGTCAGCGCGCAGAAGAAGGAGAAGGCGAGCCGGACGCTGCACTGTTATTTTAGCCCCTGAATGCCCAGCTTACACGACCACCTTTCAAAATAAATGTCCCTATAAATGTCCCTTGTGGCTTTTTGACGTGGTGAACTAAGTACAGCAGAAACCCTCGATTTATAGATACATTGATTGAATGCCTCCGATTCTTCATGTGAGATGTTTCTCCGTTTAGTCACATTTCACATTTTCACCTGATGCTTTGTAAATGAACAAAGTAAAATTTTGCTTATTGAAGAGAATTAAATTAAAGTCTGTACTGATATCAGACTAAACATTTTGATGCATAATGAAAATATAATTAAGTAGTAAAGGTATCAAACAGCTGTGGTGGTGTTTATAAACATGGATAAAAGAATCACAGAACAAACAAACAAACAAACAAACAAACAAACAAAACAAAGCAGCCAAACATGAAAATGTTAAATAGGAAATGTGAATCGTAAATATTTAGAGAAAGTCTGGAGGATAAACAACTTTTTCTTTTTTTTATTTTACTTAGCCGTCCTGAAGTGTTTAATGAAAACAATGACATATTTTCAACAGTTTCATATTTTCGTAAACTTTTCTCTGTTTTAGTGGAAAATATTTTGATTTTATTTGTTCACCTTTGACCCAGCTGGCATTTATATTTATACTAGTGTCAGCAAGCCGGGTCAAAGGTGAATAAATTTAATGGAGTGACCTGGACCTCATGACCCGTCTGTCTGTTTAGTTGTGATAACAACCAAACGCTGAATTTGCCACTCTGTATATATATATATATATATATATATATATATAGCAAGCTTAATTTTTTACCTACATTTCTTATTTAACATAAAATAGAAAATGTGCCTTGTTGTGCAACTTTTGTACAAGGTACATTTTCTGTTTTATGTTAAATAAGAAATGTAAGTAAAAAATTAAGCTTGTTATATATATATATATATATATATATATAAAATAGAAAATGTGACTTGTGCAACTTTTGTACAAGGTATATTTTCTGTTTTTTTCCCCAATATGTTAAATTCAGCCAATAAACAGCAATTGTGCATTAAAGTGTACAAAACTGTGTTCTCTGTAGAGGATGTGTTCACTTTTTATTACTTAGAAAATCAACAAAATGTGTCATTTGACCACTCAAATGTTTGCATACAACTCTGTATGCAGCCACTTATTCAGTCACCTTGGCCCAGCTGGCAGAACTGTAACTTTTATTTATATGAGCGTCAGTGAGTCACAGTAATGCCAGCTGGGTCAGAGGTGAATGAATTTAATGGAGTACAGCTGCAGTGCCTCATAGAATAAAATGGAAGTCTGTATTCATATCAGACTAAACATTTTGATGCATTTTGAAATTAATAATTAATTAAAAAAGGTATTAAAGAGCTGTGGTGGTATTTACTAACTACTTACTATCTTAGATTATAGATAAAACCAAACAAAGCAGCCAAATATATGAAAATGTTAAATGGGAAACCTGAATAGTAAATCTTTAGAGACTATTAGAGAATAATCCCTTAATTAGGAAAAAAAAAGACTTGGTGATTTGGTTACTAAAATAGAGGAGTGCTATACAAAGAAAAGTCAGGAAAAATTGAGTTCTATGTATTATATTTGAACTACTTCCAAAACATTTATTTTTAACAGTTAAGTACAATTTTGTGTGTTTCAATGAAAAACATTATGATTTTATCAATTCACCTTTGACCCAGCTGGCGTATATATTTATAGTGGAGTCACCGAGCCTCAGTTATGCCAGCTGGGTCAAAGGTGAAAAAATTTATCATATAATGTTCAAACTACTGATAACAAGCAAACATTGCATTTGCCACTATTCATTTTAAAGACTTAGTTGAAAACAAACTTAAATGTACATATATTTGATTTATGCTGTATATATAGTTTATATATATACTATATAGCACTATATATATATATATATATATATATATATATATATATATATATATATATATAGTGCTATACTGTATATATTGCTATTGTTGGAACAAAACCTTGTATCTCCAAAATTCTAACTTTACAGGAGAAAGAAAAAAACTTTCTTTACTTTTAATGTCAAGTTAAGTCAATGGAACCAGATTTTGGGCTATTTCTGCTGTACACATAATATAAAGGGCAGAGATTTTCAGATTATGTAAAAAACTGACAAACATGGAGATACGAGGATTTGGTCAATAGCGATATATATATATATATATATATATATATATATATATATATATATATATATAGTGAAATCAAATAACATTAAAACTACTGATAGCAACCAAATGATGCATTTGCCACTGTCCATTTGAAAGATTTTGTTGAAACAAACATTCACAACTAGTCTTTATAATAGCATCTATAATGCTTATTATTATTATTATTATCATCAAGTACCATCGAGTCAATTCAGATTTCTGCCGACTTCTGTTTGGTCTTCAATCTTCTTAATGACTCGTTCATTAATCATTAGACTGTATTCATGCGTCATCGCTGAACGTTCTCTTTCTGCATCTTGTGACCTCCTACTTTTGTTCTTCTACTCCACTTGTTTTTGAAAGATACTTTTATTTCTACCTCTCTGTCTCTGTTTTGCAGAATTAACAACACTTTAACTTAAGAATGGGTTTAGGCTACTCAACCCACCTCTGTTTTGAACCAAAAGGGTCCTAAGAACAGAAGATCACCACATCATCTGGAACTTCAGTTCTAGCGCTGAAAGATGCTGGATGTGCTAAAAGGTTCTACAGGGAACTCATTACCGGAGGAAGAAGTTCTGTAATGAAATTAGCAAAAATGTTTTTTACTTGTACTTGAGCTATTATTTTCTTGAAGTAACAGTTTTACCTGAGGATGGACTTAGACAGCTCCACCTTACACTGTACTATACAAAGTTCACTTTTCTTTGCATTTCACATACTGTCCCACCTTTTTTACAATTGGTGTTTGTATTATATTCATCACTGGGAAATCACTGGAGGAGGTGGTCTTATGACTAATATAGTTGCATTCTCTGGAAGCCTTGTAGAAGATTTATTATCTTTAAATCTTTTTATCTTATTGTTTATTTTCTATGTTTAATTTAAGGACATTCTTACTTAGACCTGTCACAATCTGGAAAATGCGAAGGGTGCATTCTGAAAACTTACCTCGCGACTGCGGTTTTGATGGTGGGGAGACATTTGAGTACATGTTGTCATCAACCTCCATTCCCAACAGCAGCAGCAGAAAAGTGTCTAAGATGCTTTCTGCAGAATAGTGAGAGTGGCACTAATACTTAAAAGGATCTCTGTGTCACTTCCTTATACTTTCTGTCACTTCCTGAGACCTCTGTGATACTGTTCTGCTTTGAGATATTGCAGATATAGCGCTTTTTAGCATCATTTATTCTTCACACTAACCACACACCATTTTCTGTTGTGTTTTAGTGAACATTAGGTCCGTTTTGCTGTACTGTGAAAGAATTTACACTGAACATATGCAAACCTCATTAAGTTCCTAAACAGCTTTTATAGGGATGCATGAGTGAGCAGATAGAGTAGAATAGTGTAGAGTTCCACTACCGGCTTGTGTGGCCATGGACACGCGGGAGGCACGGCCACAAGCACAATGGGTATTGCTGTGGCAGCAGTGAGAGAGAGAGACTTAAATAAGTTGCTGATGTTCAGTGTAAGAGACACAGATATGTTGTGTGTGCTGTATTGTGCTGGGCTGTGTGGAAGTTAGGTGGGTCTGCAAATCTACCAATCTAGAGTTGTGTGGTTGTTGGGGACATGCCTGCTTTCTGGCCATGCCGGGTCTCCCCATCTGCATGTTAATAAAAGAGCATTCACTTGAAGCGCCGCGTGTCCCATGTCGTCCTTTATGGCTTCTGACACCATGCCACCGTGGTGTCAGAAGTGGGATTGCCCACTATTGGCCAGGAAGGGAACAGCGAACCCAGTGGCGAAACAGCGGAGATGAGCGAGTCTGGACGGTGGCAGGTAGGAAAAGGCTTGACGCTGCCATGGCGTGTTGACAGCTACGTGCAGTGCGGCACGGCATGGCTGGAGGCCGATGGGTCCGGCAAAGCAAGGTGGCTGTGTAATGAGTCAAGGCCAACTGTTGGAGCTCCAGCGTACACAAGCAGTAGCCTCACTTGCATCCACAGCGCGGTGGGCGGCAAAGAAACCTGAAAGAGGTTGAGGGAGCGCCTTTGCTATTACCACTGTGGTAGAGGAAGCGGCTGAGAAAGTGCTGCTGCTGCTGCGGCCTCCCAAACGAGCGCAAGGAGTGACATGACGAGCTGCGAGTAGATCCGCTGCGATTGCACTTATTTGAAGTAGTGTGTTTACCACGTCTTCTTCCTCTGCACTGACGCCACAGTACAAATAGTACTGTAATACATATTTTTCCAAGAAAAAGTGCTTTTACAATACTGACAAGCATCATAGTATCACTATGTTTTAGGCTAATCACTCTGCTTATTCTACACTTTTGTAGAGTTTTTACCTATTGTAAAGACAGCTAATGTTGTAAAGACAGCTAATGTTGTAAAGACAGCGAAAACTGATGGTTTTTAACTAAAATTTTAAAATGCACTTTGGCAAATTTGTTACTCCTAGCAGTTCAAGTTAAACACCTGGAGGAATTCCACACATTTTTATAACATTTCAGCATAATTCAATTGTTGAGATGTTTCTTTACAGCAGTGGTGATAGGAACCAGAAACCTTTTTTTGACCAGTGAACATAAATGTGTTTTTAGATGTAATGTTGATGATGATCAAATAGTGGTAAATCTGAAAAAAAAAAAACATAAGTTTTCTTTGGGTTCTGTTTTGCCTTACAACAGCCTGTGTGTTCACCTCCACTATGAAGAAATTTTAACAGTGGATTTTAGCTTTTAGAGGCGTCAAAGCATTCAGACGTCTGGTTCCTATCACCACCACTGTGAATGATTCTGACTCTAGGTTTCTCTAGAACGAAGCATTCCCCCTCAAACCACTCTGAATGACTTAAATGACTTAAATGCGTCTTAACTATTCAATTTTATAGAAACTTTGAAAAATGTGTTGAATTTCCCTTCATGGGCAGATCATAAGATGCACTATATGTAGTCTACAGCCCCTTTTTTGTTTCACAATGTTAGAGCAGACGCATCTAAGCCACATATGCCGGTGTCTAAATCCTGCTAAGAGAAGTGGTTTTGATGTTTTTTGTCTGTTTGTTTTTGGTGGGGGAAGGTGTGGTGCAGACATGCAACAGCGGCTTTATTCATTTATTTTCTGACAGTTATTCCAGTTATTTTAAATCATGAAAAAACTGAATTACTGATTGTTGGTACAGAAACTCAGAGAAAAATAATTTTTGAGAAACTTGGTTCTTTTGCTTATCTACCAAACCTGAAGTACAAAACCTGGGTGTGATCTTAGACTCTGAGCTTTGTTTTGCCCCGCATGTAAACACAGTCACTAAAGTAGCTTTTTATCATTTAAGAAATATCACTAAAGTTCATCCTTTTCTATCTCAGAGCGACGCAGAGAAACGTGTTCATGCATTTGTTACAAGCAGACTTGATTACTGTAATGCTCTTCTTACTGGACTTCCTAAGAAAACTACACATCCCTTACAACTCATACAAAATGCAGCAGCATCCTAACAAAAACAAAAAAAAGAGATCACATCACTCCTGTTTTAAAAGAACCGCACTGGCTGCCTGTATCATTCAGGATAGATTTCAAGGTTCTGCTACTAGTCTTTAAAGCTCAAAACAACCTAGCACCTGCTTACATCACAGAGCGTCTATATGTTTATGTTCCTGCACGTAATCTAAGATCTGCAGATAGTGGCCTTCTACAGATACTCTCTGTAAAATACAGAGAACATGGAGAGGCCTCTTTCAGTTATTATGGTTCTAAACTGTGGAATTCAATTCCACCTTTTATTAGACAGTCAAGCTCAGTGCTCACTTTTAAGAAGCATCTAAAAACGTATCTATTTAAATTAGCCTTTAACTAAAACTGAATGTCTCGTGATGTTTATCTTGTAATTTAATCTTCTTCATTTTCTTCTGATTCTAATTAAATACTGATGATCTCTTCTATAACTGTTTTATCACCTGTCTGTAAAGCACTTTGAGCTGCCACCAGCATGAAAAGTGCTATATAAATAAAATTATTAATAATAGTAATAATAATAATAATAATAATAATATGTGGCACCAAGTTTTAGCAGCATATAAAAAGCACTGAACTGGACAGTCCATCTTGACCAGGATCACAAGAATCAGATAATAATGAGGACATGCTATTGTGGCTGAAGCAATTAGTTCATTAATTGTTTGTATTTTATTTTATCATCATGTCGGTTTTACCAATTTTAAGCTGAGCCTTATTTTTTGTGTAGGTGAGCAATCCTAGGTTTACAGTTTGGTTTTATACCTTAAATTATTTAATAATTAAATATTCTTGCATCATTAAATATATTCTTTTTCTCCTACTCACTGTATTATGCTGTTATTCTATTTGTTCTGTTGCTAAATATGGGTTATACATGTTTTCCCAAAAGTTGAAGTCAATTGTAACAGAACTATTCAAAGTGATATTTAAACATCTAAAGGAGTTTTAAAGCATTTATCGCAGACAGATGTTAGAATGTTAAGGACAAGGTATGCAAAAAGTTGAACATTTGCAGTCAAATGACATGTTTTGTTGATTTTCTAAGTGAAAGTAAGTGAACACATCCTACACAGAGAACAGAAATACACTATATGGCCAAAAGTTTGTGCTCATTCAATGTTTCTTCCAAAATCAAGAGTATTAAAAAAGAGGTGACGAATCTTAAGCAGGAAAAATGCTAATTTCAGAGTGGTTGAAAAACAAATTGAGTGCACCCTAAAAGAGCATGTTCACACACCTTATTGCAAGTCAGGTAACAAACCCTTTGAATCTAAACAATGGTCATCAAAGGGTATAAATACTCTTGAGGGTCTTTATAATTCAGAAGGGCTTCACAATTTTCAAGACCTCTGTTTTTTTGTTTGATGTCCCACGAACATAATTTTTCTTTATTTGAGGTTACAAGCTGTGCTTCGAGCATATGGGGTTCCTTGGAGATCAGGTTTGGAAACTTATCCAGTTATAGAACGGATACTAAATAGCCTTTCCAAGGGTTTTGTTTCCTATATACACTACATGGACAAAAGTATTGGGACACCTACACAAGCTTTTATGACGTTCCATTCTAAATCCATAAGCACTAATATGGAGTTCCCCTTTGCAACTATAACAACTTCCGCTCTTCTGGGAAGCTTTCTACAAGATTTTGGAGTGAGTCTCTGGGTTTTTTTTTCATCCAGAAGAGCATTGGAGAGGTCAGACACCGATGTTGGACGAGAGGGCCTGGCTCACAATCTCTGTTCTAATTCATCCCAAAGTTGTTCAATGGGGTTTAGGTCAGGGCTTTGCAAGGGCCAGTCAAGTTCTTCCACACCAGACTCACCCAGCCAGGCCTTTATGGACCTTCCTTTGTGCATTGGGGCTCAGTCATGCTGGAACAGAAAAGGTTCTTCCCCAAACTGTTCCCACAAAGTTGGAAGTGTAGAGTTGTCCAAAATGTCTTGGTCTGCTGAAGTATTAAGATTTCCTTTCACTGAAACTAAGGGTCCTTGGCCAACTCCTGAAAAACAACCCCATAGCATTATCCCTCCTCCACCAAACTTTACAGTTGGCACAATGCAGTCAGGCAAGTAATGTTCTCCTGGCATTCGCCAAACCCAGACTCGTCCATCAGACTGCCAGACAGAGAAACATGCCTCGTCACTCCACAGAATACATTTCCACTGTTCCACAGTCCGGAAGTAGAGTGCTTTACTGAGTCAGTAAAGTACGACCCATTCTACTGCCAGTGTTTGTTTATCAAGACTGCAAAGCTATGTGTGTAATTTTATCCACCTGTTTGCAATTTGCATATAAACATCTTCAAGCAGCTTGATGTTCCTGTGACTGCAGTTACAAATATTATTAGGAAGTTTAAGATCCATGGGACTGTAGCTAACCTCCCTGGATGTGGTCACAAGAAGAATATTGACCCCAGATTGGACAGAAGGAATGTGCTTGCACATGAAAAAAAAAAAATGAAGCTTCCAAAGAAAAAGACAACAAAAAAAAAACACACCATACCTACACTATACAAAATATCCGTGCAAAAACAGAAAAAAGGTAGTGGCAAAAAAACCTGTACTTTTCCGTAAAATTAACAGACAATTCCGTCACTTCTAACAAAACAATTCTGTTAATTTACAGTACATGTTCTGTGTATACACAAGATAGCTCCTTCACTTCATATACAGAACATTCTGTAATTTTACAGTTTTGGCCTAAAAATAATCAGTGACCTTGGGGCTGTGGCATCACCAGGATTCAAACCTGTGACATCATGACAATAGAGCAAAAACACACATAGCGGCCCACTGATAGCCCACTTGGAGCCAGAGCCAAGCTAAAATTAAAGTCACCACCTCCTTACTTTTAACACAGCTAAACAAGCTGTACTGGTAAATTTGAACGCAAAGCACTATGATGGCGAACTAAACAAAAACATGTTAAATGTATCCAAATGTATCCAGGCAAGATCTCCATTACAAATGTAAGATAATACTTATTGGTTGTTTTACATTTATCTACAGGTCTAGATTACAGGCATTAACATTTCTGGAAGGCCTAGCACGCTGACACTGATCAAGTTAATACCAAACCCAACATAATGTAATTGAAACACATTTGAATTAATCACTGGTGGAAAAAGTATCAAGGTACTCTCTCCGGTGATGAAAGTGCAGTTTTCTCCTCTAACCCTGCTTGACTGACATGCTCTTTGCTGCAGTTGTAAGCAGTGGGGTGGCAGGTAAACTACCCAGCATGCAATGCATGCTTGGAAATACATAATAGTGACAGTGAAACGCTGAAATGGAAAAATTCTGTGCCGATGAATAACCCATAAAAAGATGGATATGCTTTACAGTGTACTTTGAAACATGGAGGCAGCTCGGTTAGATTGTAAGACTGCTTTGCTGCATCTGGCATGGGGTGCCTTGAATCTGTGCAGGACACAATGCAATCTTAAGACTATCCAGGAGTGAAATGTACAGCCCAGTATCAGAAATCTCAGTCACAGCTCATGGGTGCTCAAACAGGATAATGACCCAAAACACACAAGTAAAAGCACCCAAGAATGGATAAGAACAAACATTGGACTATTCTGAAGAGGCCTTCTATGAGTCCTGCTCTGAATCTTATCGAGCTTCTATGAAAACAGATGAAACATGCAGTCTGGAGAAGGCACCCTCCAAACCTGAGACAGCTGGAGCAGTTTGCTCAGGAAGAATGGTCCAAGTTACCTGTTGACAGGTGCAGAAGTCTCACTGAGAGCTACAGAAGTCACTTGTTTGCACTGATTGCCTCTAAAGGTTGTGCAACAAAATATTAGGCTAAGGTTCCCATTATTTTTGTCCATTCCATTTTTATTTCTTTTATTGTTTAATATTCAGTTGATTCAAAAATTAAAGTCTTGACTTCTATTAAACACGAAATAAACAAAGACGGACGCCAATTACTTTTGTCAGTTTCAAGTTATTTTAGAGAAAATTGTGGGTTTTTGTCATGAAAAGGTTCCAACAAATTTGTCCATGTCTGTATGTTTCCTGCTTTTTGCTGACACTGAAAAATTAATATCTTGTCATAAATGGCTGTTCAGACTGGAAATTTAACAAATGGCTGACTTTTGCCCAGGACTGTACTTAAGTTTATGTAACTACTTCTGACCACATTTGGGTGTCTACATGTTGCTAGTCAAATTGAGAATGAATTCACAAGGACCAGCAGCAACGCGCCAAATCCTCACAGCAACGTCTACTTTTATTTAGCACAAAAAAATCTCCATGATGACAGTTTTTTTCCTCTCCATCATGAAAACCAAAAGACCACACAATGTGTTTTTGTCCTGATCCATTTGTTCCAATCATCTGATAACATCTCCTCCATTCTGTCCACAAGAGAAACCCAGCAGACACTGGCCAATAGTCATAAAACTCTACTGCTGTAGCTGCTCTTCAGAACATGTGTCAGCTCATTGCTTCCTATCTACAACACTGAACCGTGCAAGGGAACACATTACGCCAAACCAGTTCTTCAAAGAATTTTCTCTTTAAACTCTAGGACACTGTTTATCTACAGCAGTAGAATTTTATGAGGAACTGCCAATCATGTGAGTGCATTAGATTTTACCACCCCCCACCCCTGCAAAAAAAACCCCCACAAAAATCATATTTCACTCTCAGATACATTAAATACTTAACCCCCCCCCAAAAAAACCCGTCTCCTGCCCCCCATCACACTCATTCATGATTCATGCCTCAGTCATGATTCGCCCTCTTTAGTTATCATTAGTCCATGGGTCCACGGTCTGGACTCCTAGCGGTCATCGTTTTCTTGATATTACATTGTTGTTACTTGTTATTGGTTTATGTACACAGGGCTTCTCTGTTGGCATTACAGTGAACGGGAATCACAGGCAGTTAGTGATGAAGCAGCGATCCATCGATTAGAAAGAAAAATATGAAAAGCAAAAAGACCAAAAAAGAAACAAAAAAGTAGAGAAAGATCTCTCCCTTGCAGTAAGTACCACATTAATTAGTCAAAATGAACTGGAAAACAATGACAATCCCATGACAATAACAGAGAGAGTGAAACCGCTAAACAAAAAAGCTAAATTATCCACAGCAGCCCTTGTAATGTCCACTTTAGGTCTTTATCACCTTATTTGATGCTTGTTGGCTTTCTCTTTAAGGTATTCTCTGGTGTTGTATGATTGTTTTGTTAAATGTTGTCAGTTTTTTTTTTTGTTTTGTTTTTTTCTTTCTTGCAAAAGCACCTCAAAAGCATATTTGGACGGGGAGAAAAACAAACTGCTGTACGGAGTCTGTCGACTGTGTCAGCGTGTGAGCAGAATGTTATTAATGCTGCAGGGCATGATGGGAGTTTTTTGTGTGAGGGAGCATCTGCAGTTTGAGGGCGTGTTACAACTCTCGACTCATGACGCGATCGACAATCGCAACCGTTTGCTGTTCTTGTCTGACGATGGCAATTACAGTGGCTTCAGATCCCTGTGCTGAGGGAGATAAAAAGAAAAAAAAAAAACAAAAAAAAACAGAAAGAAAGACAGAAAAAAAGAGAAAAGAGAAGAAATAAAGAAAGAAAGAAAGAGAAGAAAAAAGAAAGAGAGAGAAAGCAAGACATAAAAGAGGAGAGAAACTCCCCTCTCTTGGCCTGGCAGCGGTAGTGCAGGTCCACATGGTCAAAGTTCAAATGTCAAAAAACAAGGAAGAAAAGAAAATGGGCGGTGGCTTTTTCTTCCTAAACCTGGAAGTCCCTCTGTAGTATCGGTCAGGTGGTCAGTGCATGATGTCATAACTTGGCTTCACTATGACGCAAGGAAGGGCTTAATAATGGGAGAGGGTCACTGCAAGACCAAACCAACCTGTAGAACAACGAAAGAAAGAAAAAGAACAACTTTACTGTGATGCTTTGCTCTGTAACTAGAGATGCTTAAAATCTCACAACAGATCAGAATTCTAAAATGGATTATAATCCAACATGTCTACAGTGACCGAACCCTGGATCAGGACTGGACCAGCTCATCTGCATAAGGCCAGTGTGGCTGCAGTTTTTTACTGTAATCAAGCAAACGCACATCTCATATAACCAATCAATTGTTTGAAGACTGAGACCAACTGATTTAAACAAGAGGAATCAGCTGTGCTTCCATAGGACTGGAATGAAAACCTGCAGCCACACCAGCCTTTTGTGGATAAGAGTGAGCCCTGAACACACACAGCAAACTTCTGGATCCTTTGGAACTATGTGGATTTCTGGAAAATCTGCTGATCTGGGCACATATTCTGGAAGCTTTTTAGAGTTTTTAATAGAGTTTATAGAGTAGGGAGAAAACCTTTAGCAGCATAGATTGTTTATTTAAGGAGGACAAATGCAGGAGGACGCTCTGTACTCTTATTTTTGCTGCATAATGCTGGGTTCCACAAACATGTGAAAGTGGTATAAAAGCGCTGATCTAGGATCTGTTCTTGTTAGTAACCTCAACGTATAAGAGGAATCTGAAAGTGATGCACCGAAATGAAAATTCTTGACCAAGACCGAAACCTACATATACTCAGGTGAAAGACCGAAAGCAAAAAACAAAAAGAAAGGGTTATTTTATCGATATTTTCATGGTTTCATGTTTTTGAATTAACATGATAATGATTATGCTTCAAAGGCGACAACCAGCATGTTGGTAAAAAGATCTGAGAGCACCACAGCACAAATTCAATTAAAACAGCTTGCTAAATAATATTAATTATTCAAACTGCAAAACTATGAAAAATAATATTTTGTGTTTTCCCAAAGGCATCTAAAGCTGAATTCCAAAGTGGCTCTATTATTACGATGGAATACACTTTGTTTTAAACGGGCAAAACATGTGAACGTGAAGAGAACTCACGCCTAGCAGGTAGAAGCTTTAGCGCAAAGAGGCAAAGAGTTAATTACCAAAAATATTGGGTGACTCCCATTAATGAATTTCATTAAATCAGTTAATGCTAAAAATCATATAAGCTATAAACCATACAGAACGTGGCTGCAGAAGATCATGTTTGAGAGTTTAAGAAGTCAGCGCAGCTGAGCGAACGAAACAGTGTTTTTAAATCACTATTTCTCATTTTCATCACAAATCAAAGTATTTGCCAAGTGTCAGATTTCAACATGTTATTGAAGACTTATTTAATATTGTTTTTTTTTTTTCTCTATCAGCTGAAAAACTTTCTGGTCTGAAAATTTCGGTGCATCCCTAGAATCTGATCCTAGATCAGAACTTTTGCGTTGAAGAGTTTAATAAATACAATCCCTGACCTTCATTTAAAGCAGTTCAGGCAGAAATTCAGATCATTCCAAACGGTTCACAAACTGTTTTCCACAGCTCAAACTATCTTCATGACATCCACCTAGTGGTAAAAACCTAAAGTGCGATGATGAATAACTAGAGAAGTAACTTTTGGCATGAACCATGATCACTGATTTTCAAATATGTGAAAGTAAGTGTAGGTGAATATAAGCAGAACACAAGTGTGTGTAATGCCTTCTAGAGCACTCTCTGATAAACCTCACAGCTTAAGAGTTTCTATCAAACAGGACTAGACTCTGTACCTTCTCTGGGCCCATGCTGGGACATTTCCAATTGTAGAGATAATACTGCAGGTTCCCGTCTCCGATACCAAACTTCAGCTTCTCCAGAAACGTTTTATTCTCCATCAGGTCCAGTGCATTGAAGACATCAAATTCTTTCTGCAGGGGGAGAACAAGATGGAGAGAGTGAAAGACGTAGTTCAGACACTAAAGAAACAGGGCTTATGTTAAGAGGAAATTCACTAAGTCACTAAGTCAGAATTGTTAACAGCAGTGGTAATAATAACTGGACGTCCAAAGTTTAAATACCTCTAAAAGCTGCCAATACATTGTCTGATGTCTGAGACATTGTTTTACCAATGATTTGAGTCAGTCATGGTGGAGAGGTACATGCAGGATGTTTTAAGGCAACACAGTCCTTACAGAAATGTATTTTTCTAGATTTAATGTTTTTTTACCATTATCAACATATGGAAAATCTGTGTAGGACATGTGTAGGTTCACTAATCATGTTGGACAGTAAACAAAATGGTTATTTTTGTGTCTGAGCTGCTCCTGCACATAAAAATTTCAAAAACACTCCGAATGACTTTGTTTACATCTAAATAACTGAATTATGTGGAAATTCTAAAAAAGGGAATTGCCTAAAAATATGAATCATGCCTGAACCTCAGAAGTTCTGAATTAAAAAACAAACAAAAAAAAGGTGTATCCACTGACCGACTTGGCTAGGATGAGCGCGTCTCCCATCAGCTCGAGCAGCGGCACGCTGGTGTGCACATTGTAGAAGGAGTAAGCTGCCTTCAGACTGCGGTGCACTGGGTGGTTCATGATGGTGGACGGCAGGGTGTAGAAACTCAGGAAGTCTGTCACCTTCCCCTCCGGGTTCTACCAAACCAACAATCAGAACACCAATTATCAATCAATCAATCAGGAAAAGTATTAATAAGAATATTTATACTCGTACTACTAAAGCATTAATAAAAGGAGATTTTCAACTGATTAAGTGCTTAGAGACCTACAGACTGACCAATGGTAATGAAAACATATTAAATAATTTAAACATAAATAATAATATACATACTGGTCATTTTTCAAAATGCTACCTCTCCTTAAAAATGCATGGCATTCAGTCATATGCAAAAGCTTGAACACTCCTGGTCATACTACATTTTGTTGATTTTCTGAATGAAAATGACACCATCTGCAGGGAGCAGACCACATTATGGCATTTCTTCTGGAAATTTTAATGTATAATTACATTTATTTGTTGAGTTTTACATATTGGAGAAAAATTAAAACAAAATATAAAATGTTCCATAACTTTTGCACAAGTCTTCCCCAATATGTTAAATTCAGCAAATAAACAGTAATGAAAATCTGCTGAATTGTGTGTTCTCTGTAGAGGATGTGTTCAATCAAAGGTCAACAAAACATGTCATTTAACCATGGGCGCCCAAACTTTTGCTGCAAATGGGCTGATAGAAATGATGTATGAGGTTTTTGTGACAATGCCTCTGCAAAAATCAGACCAAAAGCCCTACCAGGACCAAATCTTCAACAGAGCCTTCCCAGTTTAGGTCATTAACATGGTGAGCTATTAAACTTATCAGCGTTCTAAGGTTGTCAAGGGCTCTGCAGGTGACGCACCTCTACCACGTAAGTGTCAATGATGTTGTCCTGAGGCAGAAGCCAGTGCTTCACCTCCTCCAGGTTCATAACGGGTGCCAGATGGAACTGGCGCAGGTAGTCCAGCAGCAGACGGTGCACAGCTGGGATGTCCTTCACTGTCATCGGCCTCAAGCCTGGAGTCTTGGGAGCCTATGGACAGAAAGAGACAGCTCTACATGAACATCAACCCAGGAGGCTTTATTGGCAAGACAAATAAGAGTATATTTGTATAGTCAAAGCTTGGGTTACATAATTGGTAGGGCTGTTCTTACACACATAAGACAGGCACAGAGAGAAAGACAGAAATGGAGAGAGAGAAAAAGGGCAGCCAGTTTGTGACCCTGTCAAAATTCTAATTTCTCCAGCACTAACAGCAGCGCCGTTTACCGACAGCAGACATTATTGATACTCCATTGTATACTAATAATTTGTTTGTGTCCAAAATCAGGTATCAGAGGGCATTCCTACTCATAATATGCTGGCATAATCATGGAAGGAAACATGATAAACATAACAAAATAAAGAAGCCCTATAAAAACAGGTGGGAATTACGCTGATTTTGTAGTGTGGTTTGACATAAAACATGCCATGGTAGAAATTTACTGATTCAAACTATTCAGGGTGGTGGGTATAGAAACTAGATGTTTAGCGTTTAATGCTTCTGAAAGCTCCCTCACAGACAGTTATTACACAAAATGATAACAAATATGCTGTCTGATCATTGTTTTATGATAATTTTGGGTAACACTTTATATTTGGATAGTCCACTTTAGATCCTTTGTAGATACTTAATTTACCTTCAAGTTACATTCAACTATATACCGACCAAATTGACTATAATTTAAACCCAACACTCACCCTGGTCCTTGTTTTGTCTCAGCAACTGAATAATGATGAAATTTTCAAAAATATCTTTTAAATTCCCCTTTAATAAAGTCACAGATGACCACAGAATGAGGGGTAGGTAGACAGAAAGCCAAAAAGACCACTGGTGTTCTGAAAGAACTCACTGAGCCACTGCTAAAGCCACCATCCCATTAGAAAATCACAAGTCACAGGCCTTGTTCCACTGCCATATCACACAGTTCTGTAAGACTAGTTGTACACTGCTTTTCTTTCTTTGGCAACTGCATAAGCAAACTTTAAATCAACCATTTTATTTTGTATTCACACAGAATAAGGTAGCTAAAATGCTACATGTACATAGAACCAATTCATGAACAGCTACATCATTATGCTTCCCACCCACACAGTTCTGCGGTCTGAGCATGATTAGATAACTGCACACACAGCTTGTAAGTGTTCTGTGCCAAACTGTATCTGTGTGGAAATGTCACTAGAACGGCTAACCTTCATGCTTGAAAAGGTCCGGCCCTGCAGTGGAAAGAGGCCATAGAAGCCTCAGTACCTCTATGAGTGCTAAAGAAGGAATAAAAAAAGAAGAGCTTTGGAATAGAGGACCAGCGTGTACCTCTGGCAGTCGATAGAGCTTCATGGTGCGTTGCATAGTCATGTTCCGACTCAGGTGTGAAAACTTCACCTCGATCAGCTTCCGTGGGTTCAGAGAGCGGTGCCAGTACCTATATAAGCAAGATACATAACAATACATAGGTGTAAAGTTACAGGAATTACAGAAAGGCCTTTAGTTTCCAAAATATCATCCACTGTTCTAAGGACAGATTAAGTTTATGAACGTATTGAGGGAAATATTTCATAAAAACCTGATCCACCACCATGCTATGATGCTAAACAGTTTAGAGTGTTACCTGCAAGTGCCCACTGGTTTGGGCAGTACCACTCCTGCAGTGTAGACAGCCTGGAAGATGCCCTGAAGGTTGACCCGTCTGGTGATCTCTCGGATCAGGACCGGAGCCACACGCTTGGAGCGCAGCTTCTTGTGCACACACAGGAAGTTAATCTCCACCATCTTCTTCTCTCTGGGAGATAAACAGCACAGATTCCACATGTGCAACTCATCTATCAGATATTTCAGTGCAGTAACTATGCACACTGTATTTCATGTACTAGGGCTGAACGATTTGGGGAGGAATATTTAACTGCATTCTTTCTGACCGATCCGCAATTAATTTTTAATTCATTGAGCTCCATGGCTTTTATCTTCCACCAAGAAGACCAGTCCATCCATGTTTCACACTTGAGGTTTAAACAGTAAACTAAAAATTGATGAAAACTTGAATAATTTTGATATAAAAACAACTAATAATTCAGCTCGCTGCAAATATCACTAATTGAAAGGAACAAAATTGTGCAAATGCCTTAGGCCTGTTTTAGACAAAACACCTCTGCACCGGTTTGCATGTTGTTTGTTTACACATATAGCGTTTACGCTGGAGTATAGTACAGCAGGGTTATACTAAACGGTCAGCTATCATGTGATTTAAACAATTAATAATAAGAATTGCAATAATAATTGCATTATTTTGTATTAGAAAATTGCATTTGTCTTATTAGCTCTACTTTGACCCCAGAAAGCAGTGTTCTTTTTATATATCAGTGGACAAAAGCTTTATTACTTTTAATAATTCAACTTGAATCTAAACATAAAGTCACATGAAGGCAGGTGGACCATGAAAATAGAGTGAAAGCAGTTTCCAATTTTTATCCAATTCTTCTTATCATTTATTTTTTATTCGATATTCCTGGGGTGCTTTTGCTTGTAAATAATACTTCACTCTTATGTACTTTGAGGATAAATAAATTCATGGCATGATAGAAGCTGAAAATTAAGCTGTATGAAGAGAGCAATCATTGGAAGCTGCCATTTACAAGCTGTATTTGAACGAGAAGCACTACAGGAGCAGAATCATAGCAACAATGCAAGAGCAGCTGTGCTTCAGGTTGGAAATATGGGCTGAGGGGTCAAACTAGGAAAATGCGTTAACAGCGTTTAGTTTAAATTAAAAGTAAATTAGTTTAATATGCGTTAAAGAACTGTTTACCATCCGTAGGGGTTTTCTGACTTGTGATAATTGTTCAAGCCTAGATCTACCAGAAAGTGTACAAGTGACTTGACACGTTTAATTTGCATTTGGTAACAGATCTGTAGAATTTGCCTTTTGATGTTTTTAATAAATACACATTGTGCAAAAGTCACCCCTTTCGAAAATATATGTTTTGTTGATTTTCTAATTGAACACATCCTCTAAAGGGAATAATCTTAAATATGGCATTTTAGTGCAGTAGTTCACCATCGTGGGGGAAAAATTAAAACATAAAATGCACTGGAAGTTTTACACAGATTTTGTTTTCAATGTGTTGAATTCAGCAAATAAATTGTAACAGTGCATTAAAATGTTCAGCAGTGTGTCCTCTATAGAGGATGTGTTCACTTATTTTCAACAAGCTCTTTAATTTTTAACTTATTTTGGGGGTGCCCAAACTTTTGCTGACAACTAAACTTTAATGCTATAAATTCTGATTTCCCAGTCTCTGCTCAAGGCAGCCCAGTATTTACAGTGGTCATACAATACCTGTGACAGCTAACCAACACCTCTGCTGATGTATATTTGCACTTTTTCTAATGTTGTATAAACGTCATGTGAACAAAAACACCGTAGCTTTCCAGATAAACAATTTTGAACATTTTCCATGGTACTTTAATATGTTAGAGTAGCTACAATTCCACTTCCAAGAAAAGGATGGAGCGGAAGCATCAACCCCCTCAGTAAGTGACTTACATGTCATAAATGCGGATGTTGGCTGGGATGGCACTGATGAAGCCCACCAGTTTCTGGTTAGAGTTCACCCTCACTCCACAGTGCCACTGTGGCAACCAGCCCGGGGGGCGCAGAGCCCTAAAAAGAGAAAGAGAGTGAGCGACAGATGCCTGCATGACAGTAAGAGAGATAGTGGGGACTGCAGATGGTAGCAGAGGTCAGCAAATAAGAACTTAGTAAAGTCTCCCCTGCACACCCCACATTCTTCGACCCTGAACACAGCCTGGAACATGCACCTACCAAAGCAGGAACTCCGGCGAGTAGTCAAAGCGGAACATGTTATCATCATCCTCCACGTAGTTCTCATTCAGGAGGGTATACAGCTCCTTAAGCTGAGCATAGTGAACAAGAGATGTTAATTCACAAATGTGACCACAGCTTTTAGTTTTTAGTTATCCAATAATGGGTGCCCACGGCAATGAGCTACACTGTGATCAGTGACCATTAAAATGTTGTCTAATTAGATATTTCCAAAAAAAAAAATTTGATTAAAACAGTTTTATTTGATAAAACCGTACTTTATCATTCATCACCAAGGTGTATAATATTCTTTAACTAAAAGAAAATGCAGGTGAATAAAAAAAAAAGTGGTGGGCATTTTTTTATTTAAATCATTTTAATTTAATAAAAATCATTTGTCTACTGAGTATGTTTTGTTGTCCTGGAGCATATTTTTTGTTACTTGGCTCACTCACTTTTTAGATGTTAGTAATTTTAATATTTTTAATCACTTCTATATTTTATTGTTTAACTTCAACAATTTTTGTTACTTTTGTGTGCCCAGCAGTAGTGGATCGCACTGTGATTCAATCAGAGTAGCGGGCAGATCTTTCTGACTGACATGTAGACGTGAAAAATGAATAACATTAAACAACGAATCAGCCAAGCAAGAAAAATGGACTGAAGCAAACAATAAATGCTACAAGACACTAAAATGTAATCAAACACATGAATCATCATTAAATCGTTTGATAAAATACCGTTTTTTTATTTGCATGCATTTATCACTCGTCTTTTTATCAAGGCATATTTGTTATTTCTATCGTCAAACAAAAGCCACCTTGATGATGAATAAAAAAAATCTCAAACTGTATTTTATCATATCCACACTGTTTTCTCCAAATAGCAGGTGAAATCAAAAACTGTTTAAACTTTAAATTTGAACACATTTTTACTATGTGAGATGGAATTAATAAAAATGAAAGGATGAAAACAGAGTGCGTTGATTATATTTGTAATGTGAATCAACCCCACACTATTTTCATCCTTTAATTTTTGTTAATCCCTTGTCACATAAAAGAACCTTAACCATGCACAATGAGCACTGAGGCACAGCTGCCTGATTTTTCAGGACCCCAAAACAAAAAGAAAACTACAATCTAACTTTTAGAGCTCCAATCTAGACTACACTGTAATACCACAGGCTTTTAGGTTGTGGTCATAGCCTGTCTAAACAGAGGAATTCACTCAGGAGACGAAAAGAGCAAATCTGGTTTGAGCATTAAGACTTTGTCTCAAAGGACCACAACAAAGTGACAGAAAATGGCTTGGGGGCTAGAAAAAGCAAATTGGCTTAGTTAGACTTGGATGCTGTTGGTGGGTGTATCTGTCTGAGTATGTCTCACCACGGCGGGGTTGCCCAGGTCCAGTGAGTCCCAGGTGAAACCCTGAGGAAGGCTGTAGGGCTCCTCCCGGATGTTATCTTTATCAGGCTCAATGCAGCCGTGTGATGTCACCGTCTCTCCTACATAAGAAAACAACAGTAAGCCAAATAAGCTCAGGGAACAAACACGTTCAACATTAAACACGCTCCACTGAAACTTTAACCGGGGTGCCCAAACTTTTGCATATGACTAAGTATAAATACCCGTTTTGAACCAGAGCTGCAAAGATTAGTTGATCTAGTTGATATAGTTCTTAGTAGACTTGCGAGGTTGTGTGTACTTTCATTGCCTGTTTTAACATTAGAGGAAATGTGGTAATATCACAGACCGCTTATAAGAGGAATTTAAATTTCTGCATAATAAAATGGTTAAGATGTAAACAAAGTCAATCGGGGTGGTTTGGTGTGAAATGCTTAATTCTAGAGAAACTTACCGGTGGTAACAAGAACCAGACATGTGAAGCGTTTAATGCCTCTAAAAGCTCCCTCACACAAAGTCATTACATGAAATGATGTATGAAGACTTATTCTGATGTCTGAGACACTGTTTTATCATAGTTTTGTGCTAAACTTTTGGTCTAAACAAATATTCTAATCAATTTATTTTAATCTTTTCATGGTGGAGAGATACATCAAGGGTGTTCTAAGGCAAAACAGTCCCCAAAGAAAACTTTTTTCCCCTCAGATTAACCACTATTTTACCAAAATCAACATTACATATAAAACTCAGAAGACACCTGTAAGTTCACTGGTGGATTTGGATAGTAAATAAAATGGCTGTATTTGTGTTGGAGACATGGTGACCCCTGGTTCCTATCAGCACCACTGTAAAGAAATCCAAGTCTGTAAGTTTCTCTAGAATGAACCATTTCACACCAAACCGCTCTAAAAGACTGTTTACGATAAGCTCATAGACACTTATCATAGACTTCACTGCATAAAGTAGCACAGAAATGCAGCACAGTACCTAGTTTCGGGACAGGCTGAGTATCCCAGAACTGGTAGCTGCGGCGTGAGGCCTCTTCCATGGTTTTGGCTGGTCCTGGTCCCACTGAGAAGAGCTCGATGGCTTTCTGGATCTCCTGAAGCTTGTCGGCAGGTAGGGAGTTTACCTGGAGAGACAAAGAAAGAGAGATAAACAGAAAGGAAAAAAAATGAAAGCTGCAATACAAAAAGGGGACAAAAAAAATTCTGAATGTGCCACAAGGGTAAACACTCACTTTGGCCAATGGGTCCTGTGCTAAGTCCTTTCCTCCAGACTTGTCTTTCTTTTTCTTTTGTTTCTTTTTCTTTTTCTTGGCCCCTGTGTCACCTTTTTCCCTGTAAGCCATATAGAACACATCCAGAACGAAACGATTAAAAACACATACCCAACTTTAGGAGTGGGGCGATACGACGACATTTATCATGATAAACTGCCACATTACATCAAAGTATGCTTTTCTGACATACTCACGTATCATGGATATGGTACTTGAATGCTGACCGACTGCATGTTATTTTACTAAGGATCTTAATTGGATCTCTTTAACTGGATTTAGTGGAGAGCGGTATGTAAAAAGTACATTTTTCTTCCATTCTACTTTCACTACTTTAAATCTGGCGCACTGAAATCACCCACTCAGCACCAAGGCCCACGAGGCCCACACTCAGAAGAAAACAGGACATAAGCAGGGAATCGATTCAGGAAAGGAAAGTTTAGTGCAGCAAAAAGAATGTTTGATTTGTTTGGCCAAAATATTTTATTTGTTCAGTATGTTCTATGAAACATGTTCTATGTGCAGAAACAGAGTTTTAGTATTAAACAGTTGAAAGCTAACATCTTACTATATTAGCACTGCACAGCGTGTGAACAGTGGACACTTATTAAAGGAATAAATCTAAAGCAGAATGTAAACAGAATTTTTGACAGCTGATTATTTTATTACACCATATTTATTTATCCCTGCCCTGTTAAAAGGACTCAAACTGCAGTGCTGTGTGTTGGCTCAGGTTGGGCTCGGACAGAAAATTCTCAGGCTGTATTCGGGTTTAGACCAAAAGTTTAGGCCCTGTTACTGCTCTACCACTTTATGCCTTGCTTTGACCAAACGTCAAGAAGAAGACATCTTAATGTGTATCATGTATCCTGAAAGCGTCGTTTCACCCACCGCTAAATTAGAGATTTGGCCCATAAAGTAAAAGTATCTGGTGAAAAAAAACATGCAAAAATCTGAAAAACAAATGGTAGCCTTCTATCATTAGCTTATATCAATCAAGCAGAACAGTGCATCCTAAAGAATGAACACTTTTTGCAGCAGATCAACACTGAATATGTTGACAGTGTGCTTCTCTCAAACACAAATGTTTGAAGAGGCAGCATGCAGAGGCTAGAATATGACCTCCCTCAACCGTGTCAGAGAAGGCTGTGCTTTCATCCGAATCCACTAACTCAGATTTTCGATTATCCAAACTGGCAGAGCCTTCAAATTACAGCATTTCTTTTACCCTGACAGACGCACGCAGGCTAATAATCAGAAGCTCAGCTAGATAGCTAATAATAATAATAAATCATTACTCATGTAGCACTATTCATTAGAAGAATAAACATTAACATTAACATTAGAAGAATAAAAACACTATGATCTAAAAGCACTATTACAAACAAGAGAAAATGAGCCACACACTACTTCTAGTCACACACTAGCCTAAACAAATGTGTTTTTAGTCTGGATTTAAAGGGGAATTCCACAGATTTTTTTACATTTCTGCTTAATCAAAGGTTAAGATGTAAACAGAACCATTCAGAGTGGTTTATGTGAAACGTGCCATTCTACAGAAACTTGGTGAGTCAGAACTGTCCAGTGGTGGTGATGGGAACCAGATGCCTGAAGTTTAACGCCTCTAAAATCTCCTTCATGATAAATTATTACGCAGAACGGCTACAAATACTCTTCCGGATGTCTAAGATGTTGTTTTATGATAGAGTTTTGAGATAAGAACGTATCCTAAAACACGTACAGAGTATCGTAAGGCAAAACAGCCTCCAAAGAAAACCTATTTTATTACACTTACTACTATTTAATCATCATCAACATGCAGGTTCACTAGTGATGTTGGATAATCAAAAAAATAGCTATATTTGTATTGTAGACATCACAACTGGTTGATAAGTTTCCCTAAATTAACTATTTAACATCAAACTACTCTGATTGACTTTATATATTAACTAATATTAAATTATGCAGAAAGTTTGAAAAATGGAATATAATTTCCCTTATAAACACCTATCGAGTTTGCATTTCTGATATTCTCTGGAATGCTATTCCGGAAGCCAGGAGCTACGTAAGAAAATGATCTTCCCCCAACTGAGCTGTAAGAGATCCTGGGGGTTGTGAAGTAGTCTGGATGGGCTGTAACGCTTTAACAGATCAGTAAAATGTGCTGGAGCTTGGAGCTCTAAATGTCTCAAACAAGACCTCATAGTTAATGCAGTACTTAACAGGAAACCAGTGTTAACCGAATAAAACCGAATAAAAGGCTTAAACCTTATCTGTGGCATTCTGATGAGAATATCATGCTTGCAGAAAATAAGTCTATTTATCATTGATAGATATTAGAAGAAAACACAAATAACCTGTCCTTGGTCAGTTTTCCTATAATATAATTCACTGTGTATGGTAAAAGCTGCTCCCTGACCACCAGTGGACCGTGAACCTCAATTAAGGAACTGCTGCTCTAGTGAGAGTCACCAAAACACTCACTGTGAGGATTAGATGGAAAAGAGAACAGAAGAGCACTTCAAAGTAAGACTGTTTTAAATATGATTCATCAAGTATTTTATTTACCCACAATGTTTCCAACTACTGTGCCAAACCCCACGATGACTCAACTCTGCTAAATCTTCAGATTGTATTTAGAGCACAGTAAGATGCATTTAATGTGCATCCAGGATATATTCTTATACAAAGGAGAAGAGAGAAAAAGAGAGTGAAAGAGAAAGAGAGAATGGCCCTACAGAGACCCTAGTGAACAAAAACAGCAGAAACAGGTAGAATACCCACTTTTAAAAAGAGCTTGGACAACTGGAAGGACAAACAATAGTGCTAAACCAACAAACAGCAATGAATACAGGTGAACACATGAAAATATTATGGTTGAGGTCTTTGTAAAACAAAGTGAACTAACCATGTTAACGTTTTTGTTGATACGTAAATAAAACAATTCAGAGTTGTTTGAAGTGAAATGGTGCATTGTGGAAAAACTGCTTTAGTGGATTTCTTTAAAATAGTAGTGACAGGAACCAGGGGTTGCAATGTCTAGAACCCAAGTATAGCTGGTTTTTGTTTGTTTCTTTTAGTCTTCAAATTGTAAAATAGAAGCAAATCCAGGAAAAAAAACAAAACAAAAAAAAACAAAACTTTTGGTTCTATTTTGCATTACAACAATCTGCATGTACCTCTATGGCATTCGTGGACATTCAAAATGTTTTAGGCCAAAACCTTATCTGAATACTATCAGAAAACAAAGTCTCAACCACCAGGCAGCATAACCATCTAATTTAACAGTTTTCTGTGAGATACCTTTCTACATAATTCAAGGATCCAGATATCTGGTTCCTATCACCATCACTGTGAATAACTGTGACTTGGTAAGTTTCTCCAGGCTGGATCATTTCAGATTAAACCACTCTGAACAACTTTACTTTTTAACAATCTAATTATGCAGATTTTTAAAACAATTGGTTGAATTCCCCTTTAACGTAGAAAACACACCCATATACCTTCCATCTTGTCAGGCACAACACACAGCAGGTCTATCCCTAGCTGAGCAGAGCTAATATGGGTTTAGCTAAACCAGAGTCAGGACACAGCAGCGTACTTACTGAGGAGCAGCAGTTAATCCTATTATCATCCAAAGGGGGGCAGAGAGGTGAGGGCACCGAGCTACATTTGTTACTGTGGGACAGATGGCATGTTACACTACCCTGGGGGGAAAAGCGTGCGGTTGTGAGAGGATGAGGGACCTGCACTATGACACAGAACAAAGGCAAGCGAAAGAAAGAAATTGCGCTAAATGGTGGTTCGACAGGATTCTACCCCTGCTGGAGGGAAGAGGCCACCAAAACAAAACCTCCGCAGCTCCCCCACCAATGCTGCTTTCAGTCTTTACTGCCTGAATGAACACTATACTGTACTGTCAAGCATAGGCCCAGCCAGTATGTATGGCGCTTTGTGCTGCAAGATTGTATGTGTTCATTCAGATGATGGTTACACCTCCTACATGCTCATGGTGTTGGTGGGAGTTAAAGAAAATGGCTTAATGAAAAAAACAAATGTACACAATTTTACCCTTATCCCAAATGTAGGGGCCCGGTCTATAGTCCACATGACCGCTGTTACTTATTAGCTACATTAGCCTCACAGCTCCAGCACAAAATTGAACAAGCAAAGTTTATCCACCAATCATATATATATATATATATATATATATATATATATATATATATATAAATATATATATATATATATATATATACAGGGTGTCCCAAAAAAAAGGACATCATTTCGTAGTCTAATAACAGCCAATTCTCCCTCAAATGATCTCAAATTTCAATAAAATGTGTAAAAACTAACCAAATTTAATTTTTAATGTTTTTTTCAGGTTGAAGAATGGCGTTCACTAGAAACGAAAAGGCATTTTGTGTGTTAGAACATGCTCGAGCACAGTCAAACAAGAGTGTGCAGCCTGCATTTTCGAGAAAATTCAATAAAAATGCACCAACTGGACATGGCACAAAAAATATTCAAAGAGGAAGGCTGTCTGTGCAGGGCAAAGGGATCTGGACGACCACCAGTATCGGAGGACATTACATTTGTGAATCTTCGTGAAATCGGTTACAAAATCTACCTCTGAATTTCTTGTTTGAATACTGATAAATAAATCTTGTATTGTTCAACATGAAGCCTATTTAAATTCGTTTGCCTGGGACATGTAGTTACTCAGATATTCACATCTCAAATGACGTCAAATTTTTTGGCACACCTCGTATATGATTCAATATTATTCTACTTTGAATAATGTAAACGAGATTTTTCAGTGAACCATTCCTTTAGCATATATTACTATTCATAAATTTTGATAGAAACTTGACAACTCCATAAACCAGCCAATAGCTATAACATCATAGGGAGTGAAATGCTGGCGGTTGATTCATTTGCAAAAACAGCCACTATGAACAATAGAAGGTAGTACTTTTAATCTAGGAATGCAAACTAGCTAGATTAACAGCGAAGATATTAAAATGTATAAACACCAGCACATCTTACTCCACACCGTGAACTGATGAGTCTACATCTCAGCAAAAAATGATGCAAGTAGAACAAAGACTTTCACTGGCACTTTACAACGTGGGCTCCATATATTGAAAGTGAAAGTACAATGAAACCTTTGCCTTACATTCCACACGTTTCACCACATCTGTGGCCAAAGCAAACAGCTCTCTGAGGTACTGGCCTACCTGTAGAATGATAACTGTTCCCTGTAGATGCAAAAATTGGCCACTATGTTAGGCGTACCTATCTTGTTTCTACACTCAATGTCCATTTTACCAGCTCCCTTACCATATAGGAGCATTTTGTAGTTCTACAATTACAGACTGTAGTCCATCGGTATCTCTGCATGCTTTGTTAGCCTTTCTTTACTCTGTTCGTTAGTGCTTAGGACCCTCACAGGACCACCACAGAACAGGTTATTTGGATGGTGGGCCATTCAGCACAGCTGTGACACTGAAATGTTAGTGGCATGTTAACTAAGAAGGCTGATGAATCAGCCCACTAAACTAATGGACTACAGTCTATAAATGCTGTATAAACAGTAACAGTATGTCGACCAGTCGAGTTAAAATGTATTATTTTACTGTTTCGTTACGTTCTGAGCAACTTCACGTCGTTTTATGGTTTTGGGAGACAGAACAGAGCAAGATTTTCCATCTTTGCCATCTATTAACTCTTCACGTACAAATTTAAGTTAAAAACAAAAGCCCATTAGGAAGCGGCTTACAAAACAAAGCTAGCTTTATCTGCCTGGTTAGTATGTAGCTGGTGTAGCTGTAAATCTGCCAAACAACGGATTTTTCAACCCAAAAAATCAGTAAAATGATAAGTATAATACGCGGTCCTCAGTAGACCGCGTACACATACAGAAAATACACGATATTTTCAATCGTAGATGGGAATTAAAACGCCTTTTCTTGACTGAGATTAAAACTAGTCATAGCTATTAAGCTGCTACCAGCATGCTGGCTTGGCTAGTTGGCTAGCAAGAACATTGGCGGCCTTCTTTATAGGACTTCCAACGCAGTCAGCCAAACTCTTTATTCACTGTAGCTGCCCAAATGCTATATTTAGAAACAAACACCCATCATAACCACAGATTTAGCTTGTTTTGCAGCGTATTAGATATAAAATCAGCTCATTTATCCGTTAGGAAACCCATTACACAGGCTGCTTCATGTTCCAGCTAGCTGCCGTTAGCAACCTTGCACATATTTTAGTGAGCAGGACAGCAGTCTGTAAATTAGATATGTTAGTGGAAAACACTGTTATTGTTCTCAGACATGAATTAGTTTAGAAATATCTCGCTGGAAAAGAAAACCCTGGCAGGTCAGAGCGTCTCCGCCAGTGTGAACTGACAGTAAAGCAGCCCTGTGCTTACAGCACACAGCAGCAGCTTAGCTTGAGCAGCAGAACTAAAGCAACGAGGCTTTAAGTCCCGCCCATCTCTTTACAACGCACTCATTTGGCCCAATTGTCGTTTAGATTGTGTTGTCAATCAAACAAACGGGCCAATCGTGATCGACCGGTGGGCGGATTCCTGTGACTCCAGCCTCCACTGACCCAGCCGTATGACGGCCGAGCCTTTAGGGCTGCGGGGCGCGACTGTTTTAAATCTCTAACTCAAACAGCGGAGGTGTTTGCATCGCTCACCCATCTTCAAAATGGTGCTCTTCATTTTCGCAGTCGCTGCAGTGTCCGTGGTCCTCTTCTAGCTCCGCTTTTTCCTCCGGCTTCGGTGCTGTCTCATTCTCATCCGCCATGTTTAACCAGGAAATGAGGGACTGGTCTTGCAAAAGTCCAAACACACCCACAAAAGCTCCCATTGGCGGGACTCTCGCACAGCATTGTGGTCTATGTAGTTTAAAGCACACATACAGATGTACATACAGATATATATGTACATACATATACATAATGCATGTTTCTGTACATGAGTAAAAGTAGAAGTACTTTGGCAAAACATTACTTGAGTAAAAGTACAAGTATTCAATATTTCTACTTCCGAAAAAAGCACTTGCATGTGTAAGTAAAGTACTCTGAGCTACTGAAAAAATTGTGTAATGTTATTTTGATGAAGAAGCTGTATTATGGAAACCTGTGTTTACATAGTTTTTCATGGTTTACATAGTTAAAGTCTCTTTAAAAGCAAGTGTTTGTCAGCATTATATGCTACAAGATCTTAAATAACTCAAATACGTTTACTGGTGATACTTTCAAAATACCTTCACAAGTAAGTACTTTTGTTCTTTTTACTGAGGTAAAGAGGTGAAGAGTTTCATTCCAAAATGCTGTATATCCATTTGTGTACATTTTTATATATAATATTTCTTTGAAAAGAATAACAGCTGATTTATGATGAAAAAATGCTGTTTTGTTTGTCCAATATAGGGTTTGGTTAGGTTCTTTAAGAAAATCTATCTATCTATCTATCTATCTATCTATCTATCTATCTATCTATCTATCTACATGTATAAAAACTTTTTTTGAAAATTTTACAATGCAAAGAACTGTTTAATCAAGCAAATGGTTCTTTGAGTGTTCAGGGTTCTACATAGAACCATTTACTTTACTAAGGAACCCTTGAAGAACCATCTTTTTTTAGAAGTGTAGTGTCGTTAATAAGGTGTGCAACAATATGATATATAGTAAATATAGTATTATATAGTAAACTTGTTCTTCATCCTAATTTTGTTCAAAACTTTGAATTACTTAAAATATTAATTAACAGATTAACATGACAGAAATAATATTTGCAAGCACTGCTTATTTTTTTCTGTATTGAAAAAATATTTTGAATTTTTCATTACAGAAAAAAATAATATCAAACCAAATAAAACATGTTGTGAATCGTTACATATCTAGTATTTTCAAAATATTGAAAATAGATTTCCCCAGATGGTGGAATATGGCAGCCAGGACCATAAATATGTTGCTACTTTTTGGCTGCAATATTTTGTGGTTTATTTAACTTTCTCTTTGTTTTAAGCCCAAATTTTTCTTGTACAACAGTTTGCAGCATGACGTTAAGCAGCTAATGATGCTTTGAACAATGGAGAAAAGCCACGTCACCTTTAAGAGTAACTGTCTTTGGTTTTTGGTGTTTTTATACATTTATTTCTCTTTATTTTACAAAGATGTGCTATTAGGTTTGATACTTTTTGTCAATGAAATTAAAACTAGTACTTGATCAGCTTTATTATACTTTTTGCAAAGTTTCACATTCACAAATTAAATTTTACAACAAATTACCTCTTTCTGATATCTTTTTGAGAAGTTAAACATTTTTGTTTTCTTTTTTTTTTGGTTGTTTTAGTGCATCTCAATGTATATGGAGCATTTTACTTAGTTCAAACTGCAGTTCCACAGTAAAAAATATATACATATTTAAAACAGCAACTAAGTATTTATTATTCAAAATCATCATTTATAGGATACTTTCGATTGGGATATGGCCGTCCCATTCTTTAACCCCTGAATTTACTCTTATGAAAATAATATTTCAAGTTTTTTGGTATTTTTTTCCATTTTTAAAGAGCTTTTTGATTTATTTTAGAGTGAAGCTGAAAGATTTAATTTTATCTTTATTCAAAAATGCTGTCCCAGTTTTCGTGTCTCTACCGAAAAGTGTTTTAGTTCATAGGCGGAGCCTTATTTTAGCCACACCCCTGTATTTTAGAGCAGGAAGTGAGACTGCATCCCTGTCCCTCATGGCCACACGGTGAGCAGTTAGACCCCATTGAAGTAATTTTGTCCTAAAGTCTGAAAATCTGTGTGCAACATACCGAAACACATATTTTTTGTAATTAAGTTAACCATTTTCTGTTATAATGAAAATATTATGATTTTATGTGTACAGCTGTTCAAAGCTGTGTTTGCTAGTCATGCCCTGGCTAGAGTTTTTGAGTTCTGCTAAAAATGAGCTAAAATTGTCTCTACCGACATAAAAACAGCCACTACTGAAACATTTGGTAAAGGTTCAGTAGTGTTATGATTGTTGGTAGTGACAAAATGGAATGTTCAGTCATTTATTTTAACACAATAAACATAATTAAGGTACAAGGTCACTCCAAGCAAAAGGAGTCTAAAGTCCAAGTCAGTTAAACGTCTGAAATGTGTTTTCAACTCTGAAACGATTCGGGATTATGATGATCCATGTCTGTGAGACAAGCTGCATTGCTGTACTCAGTGTGTACAAGAGGGAAAAACTCACCTTCAATGTCCACATCTTTACACTAGATGGGGCTTTACTGTATCTGTTTCAGAGAGCTGTTGCTACAATCGCCTAGATATGACCACACCCCGTGACAGCAACCTCCTTTTTTTCCTTCTTTGCTTTTTTTATCAATATTTTTGTGATATTACATTTGGAGAATACTCAGATATTACATCATACACACAAAAACTATGACATTATTAGGCATTATAATATTAGACATGGTAAGTTTTAGCAGCTTTGCTGTTCAAAGGCCTCAACATGTCTACAGAAGTGTAAAGGAACTTCAAAACAAAAAAGTCTGAAGTTACTTTTAGGTTTAACTTAAATGACTTAATGAATGTGAAATTGTTCATAGAGGACAAAGCAATATTACAGTGTTATCAAAGTCAGTGTGATTTGTTTGAGATTGTAAAACAAAAACATGTCAGAAATGTTAAACAATCCATTAAAATAGTACAATCAGAAATATCCATTCAAATGTTGGATTCTTGCATCATCCTTTTATAGAAGGAGCACCGAGGAGAGATGATCTCCGAGAACTTGGGTTACAACACGTCAGGATAGTTGTTATAAAGAATCTTAAAATTTGTTTCCCTAATTTTGCTGGGAACAAGAAATTTATGAAAGGCCATCTGCATTCCACTAATCTGAATTTTTATCCAACATGTTGACCCCAATAAGTAAGAGTAAGAGTGAAGGAATGCTGCTTGACAAAGAACCAACTTAAATGTGCTTTGAATCAAGGTCTTAGGCTGAGTGGAGTGCCATTTTTAACCATGATACGTTCTTTTACAGGATTTTTGACACAATGTTGTTTGCTGAATAGTTTGTTTTTCTGTTAATAAAAGTGTTTAACATAAAAAAAATCTGCTTTTGGCTTAATAATATGTCACTTTCATAAATAAAATAAACCACCCGTCACCAGAATGCAGGATTCTGTCTCTAAACCTTCAAGAACTTTAGGACGAACACCAAATGTCTCGCCTAAGTTTGGAAAATCTCCCTTTTTCTGGTCTCAAAGTTTGGATCCATGATCAAGTCATACATTTACATTTGTTTAATGTTGCTTTGTGGTCCAGAAGATGGCGCCATAGGTGTGAGTCCCTCCAGCATACACACGCAGCACGCTACAAACAATCTCAGGCAGGTCCTAATCTCAGTTTATAAAATGTAGACCTGCCTTTTAAACTACAGACTATCATTTGAAAGTAAAACAAATCAAAACATTCATTTGCATTTGTGCAACACATTTGAAACTGCTGGACAAAAACTGAGCAAAGAAATACAAAGAATAATAACTTATTTTAGTTAGATTGACTACTATTGTAAAAATTATTTAATAACGTAAATGATTACTGTTGTAATTACTGTACTGCAATGTAATGATTCAGTTAATGGGCCTCATTCAAGAACTGTTCTTAAGAAGAAACTCTTCTTAAAACCCACTTACACGGTTTTACGAAGATTCTGACATTCACCGATTTTTCTTATGTGGGATTTGTTCTTAAGTAAGAACAGAATCTACACACACTGAAGAGCACAAAGGCAACAGTTAAGAACACATCATAAATCTGATATAGGCTTTTTTAGGACTTTTCGCAAGAACAAATTTAAGAAAAAAACTAGAAAAATATTGGCGAATGAGGCCCAATGTTCTTAATTAAGTATTATTTTAAAATATTTGTATTTACTCAAGTATTACTCAAGTATTACCAAATGTTTACTGAATACTTGTGTTTTCACTGAATTTTTCATTTAGACCTTCAAAGTACTCATTTCAAATCTCAGTCTAGATTTCTGTCTTTTTCTCTTGCAATCAGTTGAGGTTCCTTGCATATTAATTGACTGTTTTTATTAAAACATCCAACCAAATTCATATCAGAGCAAAATGAACCACCACTAAGCTAATATGTCTCTGTGTAAGACTATTACTGTGTAAGACTATCACACACCATCAAACAAAGGAAACACTTCATTTATTAATTAAAACAATTACTTCTCAGGCTGTGTTTATACTTGTAGTTTGGTTTCCTTGGTCCAGACTAAAGCAGAGGATGATATGTAGTATCATACACAGTTGCATTTTAGTTCTGGTTTGCTTAGCGTTCACACTGATACATTTAATACCAAAACAAAAGTCATATAAGACAAACGTCACGACTGATTGCACAGATTTAGTGACGTACAATGACCGATAATGTCCACCAAACTTTCTGAATTGTGTTCTTGAACTTGCTTTTATTTATGTCTTATCTGTTTTCTGATATTAGAGCAATTAGCCGTCAGACTCCTTGCATTACTGTGGTTCTGCACAACACAAAGCAGAGTGAAATGGCTAAATGTGTATACTATTTTATAATTACGTCAAACATGCCTCAGCCTCGTTTCAAAACCCAAATCATCCGTTCTATAATTACCAAATCAGAGCTTAAGAAGAGATAATAAAGCACAAGCATGTGTCAAAACAGCATCAAAAGCTCATCTTTTCCACACACCAAAAATGTTATGTAGAGAGGCAACAACGGTTTATTTTGTCTTTGGCCATTTTAGACACCTTTGGTCTGTTTTGTACAG